GAACAGCAGGAATTAGGGCCAGAAAATCCCAGCGTTCTCCAGCTTTGGGAACAGCGGGAATGGGAGCTGGGAAATCCCGGTGTTCCCTTTGGGAAAACAAAGGATGGGGTGGGAATTTGGGAGCCGAGGGAGCTGCCAGGCCCTGAATTTTTTGGGATTTTCCTGAGGCACTTCCCACAGTGCCAGCCCCAATCCCGAATTTCCTGCCATTGTCCCGAGTGTTCAGAACAACTTCCAGTTGTTTTTCTTTCATGCCCAGGGCTGGAGCAGCTCCAGGGGAAGGAGGGGATGGAGAAACTTCCAGCAAAAATCCCGCATGGATCTGTGATGGATCCCACAAAAGATCCCACGGGGGATTTCTGGGGAGCCCTGGGTTCCCCTGGATCCTGGGAAGTGCCCGAGGCCGGGCTGGAGGGGTTTGGGGCAGCCTGGGATAGGGAAGGTGGCACTGGGTGGGATTTGAGGTCCTTCCCAATCCCACCCATTCCAGGACTTCGGGAACATGAGGCTCGTTCTATGCTGCTTCCCTGATTTTAGTGGGAATCAGGAATTCCAGCCCCATCCTGGCTCTGACTGGAACCCCAACACTGCCCTGCTGCTCCTGATCCTGGCTCTGCCCGTTCCCAATCCTGGCTCTGCCCATTCCCAGTCCTTCCTCTGCCCATTCCCAATCCCAGTTCCAGCTCTCCCCATTCCCAATCCCAGCTCTCCCCATTCCCAGTTCTCCCCCATTCCCAGTTCCAGGTCTCCCCATTCCCATTCCCAATCCCATTCCCAGCTCTCCCCATTCCCAGTCCCATTCTCAGCTCTCCCCATTCCCAGCTCTTCCCATTTCCCCAGATCCTCCTGCTGCTGGCCTGGAGCAATTCCTCCCTCCCAGGATCCTGGTATGAATTTCTGCTTTTCCTGCCTTTCAGATCCCAGCCACAAGAAAAAGAGCAATTTTCCCTACATTTGGAGGAGCTGAGGATGGGATTTGGGGTTTGTTCCCTTCCCCATTCCTGGCTGGAATTTGGGATGCAGTTGGAGCTGCAGCTTCCAGATGGGAGCCTGGATTTCTTTGGAAAACCAAGCATCTCTTCAGGGTTTGCAGGTGCAGGAAGGTTTTTTGGGAATGCTAATCCTCAAAGAATTCCAGCCCCATCCTCCCAGATCTCCCTGTTTTACTGCAGCTTCCCTGGATTTGCTTTCCTGGATTTCTGAGGGTGGATCAAAGGCTGTAGATTAAATTATTCACCCCAAAAAATAATCTCTGGAATTCATCCCAGCCCAAAGGGGCTTTTCCAGCCAATCCCAAAGATCCTCCTGGGACAACACCATGGGAGAGGAACTGGAAATATCCCGGTTTTTATTGATGATTGCCTCAATTCCCTTGGATTTTAGGGAGTGGATTTGGTGACAAAACCAAACCTGGGGCTGTTTTTAACACCCCGGGAGCCTCATCCACCCCCGCCCTGCTTCCCGCAGGGAATCCCGGAGCCAGCAGCTCCAGAAGTGCTGGAAAAGGGCAGGAACAGCATCCTCCCACCCCAGATCCCTGCCAGAATTCCCTTTATTCCCTGGGAACAGGCACAGGGGGCAGAGCCTGGCTGGCTCCGGGAACGGGGCCTTGGAAAAATCCAAAAGGCTCGGAGGGAGCCACGGACCAGCTCTGGAACTGGGATTTGTCCCGGGGCTCCAGGGGGAAATGTCCCCAAATTCCTGGGAGAGGGAAGGGACATCCTGGGGCTTTTGGGCTCCCCAGTCCCACTGGGATCCGGCAGAGCTTGGGATCACGGCCCCAGTGGGATCTGGGATCCAGCTGAGCTTGGGATCATGGCTCCAGTGGGATCTGGGATCACGGCCCCAGTGGGATCTGGGATCCAGCTGAGCTTGGGATCATGGCTCCAGTGGGATCTGGCAGGAACTAGGCAGGGAAAACCCAACCCTGGTCACTGACCTGTCCCTGTTCTCCAGCCAGGAGTGACCCCATCACTGACCTGTCCCCAGCTCCGGCCAGGGATGGATGACCCCTCACTGACCTGTCCCCAGCTCCGGCCAGGGATGGATGACCCCTCACTGACCTGTCCCCAGCTCCGGCCAGGGATGGATGACCCCTCACTGACCTGTCCAGCGCGATGGCCGTCATGGAGTAGATGCTGGCGAAGACGGCGGCGATGGGGAAGAAGTTGTGGAAGCGGCAGTAGGCGGGCCCGAAGTACCACTCGTTGTGCACGGCGTAGCTGAAGTTGACCACGGTGTTGAGCGCGGCCATGGAAGCCTCGGCGAAGGCCAGGTTCACCAGGAAGTAGTTGGTGACCGTGCGCATCCGCTTGTGCGCCAGGATGATCCACATGACCACGGCGTTGCCCACCACGGCCACCACCACGATGAGCGCGTAGGCCACGGCCCACAGGGCCACCTGCCACGGCGGCTGCACGAACGGGTTGCTCCAGGACTCGTTCAGGGAGGCGTTGAGGGGCTCCAGCTCGGCCACCAGCGGCGGGGACTCATCCATGGCCACGGGAGATTGGGGTGAGGGACCTCCTGATCAGCAGAATTGGGGGAGGGACCTCCTGATCAGCCAATTTGGGGTGAGGGACCTCCTGATCAGCAAAATTGGGGTGAGGGACCTCCTGATCAGCCAATTGGGGTTGCAGGGACCTCCTGATCAGCAAAATTGGGGTGAGGGACCTCCTGCTCAGCCAATTTGGGGTGCAGGGACCTCCTGATCAGCCAATTTGGAGTGCAGGGACCTCCTGATCAGCAAAACTGGGGTGAGGGACCTCCTGATCAGCCAATTTGGAGTGCAGGGACCTCCTGATCAGCAAAATTGGGGTGAAGGACCTCCTGATCAGCCAATTTGGAGTGCAGGGACCTTCTGGATCAGTCAGTTTGGGGACGCAGGAACTGGGATCAGCCAATTTGAGGTGCAGGGACCTGGATCAGCCAAATTGGGTGCAGATCCCTGCTGGTTGAGGGTGCAGTAGGATCAGTGCACAGCCAGTTTTGGGGTGCAGATCCCTGCTGGTTTAGGGTGCAGTAGGTGGAGTGCAGGGACCTTCTGGATCAGTCAGTTTGGGGACGCAGGAACTGGGATCAGCCAATTTGAGGTGCAGGGACCTGGATCAGCCAAATTGGGTGCAGATCCCTGCTGGTTTAGGGTGCAGTAGGATCAGTGCACAGCCAGTTTTGGGGTGCAGATCCCTGCTGGTTTAGGGTGCAGTAGGATCAGTACACAGCCAGTTTTGGGGTGCAGTGCCCTGCTGGCTCAGCCAGTTTTGGGGTGCGTGGCTGCTTCAGGGCATGGGCACCTCCCGGTTTGGGGTGCAGAACCCGTCTGGGTCAGGGTGCAGCAGGTTTGGGGTGCAGAGCCTGTCTGGGTCAGGGTGCAGCAGCTTTGGGGTTCCGGTCCCTCCGGTGCCTGGGGGCAGCTGGAGCCGGGAGCGCGGCCATGGCACGGCTGGCCCGGGGCGCGGGTCCCGCCCGGCTCGGGCACGGCTGGCCCGGGGTGCGGGGCTGCCTCAGGGTCCGGGTCCCTCCGGGCTCGGCTGCGGCTTCCCCACGGTTCGGATTCCTACCGGTTCGGGGCGCGGGTCCTGCCCGGTTCGGCACCGGACTGGGATGCAGGTGCAGCAGAGCAGGTGCGGATCCCTCGCGGTTCGGGATTCAGTCGGTCACCGGGAAGCAGCTGGTTCAGGATGCAGATGCTCCTGTCGGTACCTGCTGCAGCCGGTTCGGGATGCAGATTCCCGCTGGGTTCGGGATGCAGCCGGTTCCGGATGCGGATTCCTGCTCGGTTCCGGATGCGGATTCCCCGGCTGGGGCTGCGGATCCCCGCTCGGTGCCCGGTTCCGCCCGGCCCAGCGGCGGGCTCGGGGCGCAGCCGGTGCCGCGGACCCGACTGCGGCGGGCGAGACACGAGCGGGGCTTTTATGGGCGGCGCGGGCGGTGCCAGAGCGGGGTGGGCAGAGCCGGCCGGGGACAGCCCCCCCGGTCCCCTCTGCCCCCTCCCCTTATCCCCTCACCGTCCCCCGGTCGCCAGTCCCCTCCCCCGGTGCCCCCCAGTCCCGCTCCCGGGGGCTCCGCAGTCCCCGCCGTCGCCGCTGCCGTTCCGAGCTCCGCTGCCAGCGGCTCCTCCGCCTTTCCAGGCACCCCCATCCCAAATTTCCCTCCCACATCCCCTCTCCCACCTCTTTCCCCCCCAAATTTCCCAGAGCATTTTTGGGGCCCGACTCCAAAATCAGCGGGAATTGAAAGATCCCGGTAACGGCAAAGCTCCGGGGTTTTATCGATGATTTTATCGATTATTGATTGGTTTTAGCTTTATTTATCCCGAACGTTTTCAGCCCCCCCCCAAAAAGGGCTGGAAAATCCCTCTCCATGAAAATCCCTCTCCCTGAAATTCCCTCTCCCTGAAATTCCGTCTTCTCCCTAATTAATTTAATTAATCTGAGATCCCTTCCCGCAGCCCGGGTTCTTATCCAGGGATTTGATCTCCGCCGCTGCCAGATCGATCCCGGCCCTGCTGCTCCAGCCGGGAATTCTGCCAGGAATGCTGCCGGGAATTCTGCCAGGAGCGCCCCTCGCTTTTCCCTCGGGAATTCTGCTCCTCCCTCGGGATGCGCCGCCGCTTTTCCTCCCGGGAAAGCCGCTCCGCTGTGGCCGCGGGCGATCCCAAATCCCGGATTTTGGGGAGAGGAGCCGCTCCCAGGTAAACCCCGCAGGAATTCGGCCTGGGAGCTGCGCGTGGGGAGGGAGGAGCCGCTGGAATTCTTCTCTCGGAGCGCAGGTGATTCCTGAGGTGCTCCCGGGATTATCCCTGCTGGAAAATCCCTTCCCAGCCGCGCCTTTCCCCCGCAGCGCGGAGCCTTTCAAGGGTTAACGCGGCCGCGCTCGGCCCCTGCTGGCGGAAATCGGCCCCAAGTTCAAATTCCCCGCAGGAATTCCAGCCGGGAAGGAGCCGGGAAGAGCCGGGAGTTGAAATTCCCCGCAGGAATTGCAGCCGGGAAGAGCCGGGCATGGCCCGGACCTGCCGCGAGTCCCATTTTTATTACTACGGCATCAAATTCGCGCTCTCCGCCTACGCCACGCTCTTCTCGGTACGTTCTTTTCCAATTTTCCCCATTTTCCCTACGTTTTTCCCGTTTTTTCCCAACCGGAATTGGCTTTTCCAGCCCCTTTCGCTTCTCTGTGTCCCAATTTCCCCTTCCCAAACCCCAAATCCTTTAGGAAAACCCGCGGTGCCTCCAAACCCCCGGGGCCGGCTCCAAACGTGCCGATTTTGGGCTCTGATCGTGCCGATTTTGGGCTCTGATCGTGCCGATTTTGGGGTGAACCCGCGGGTTTTGGATTTTTTTCCAAGCACATCCTCCTCCGTGATTCCTTTGTGTCCGCGAGTCCCGTTTGGACCAGAAAAAAACCGGGAAAATCCCATTTTTTTCACCCCCCAGGTGCCCCCTGTAGACATCGAGGGGGTTTCAGCCACGTTTTTGTCGGAAAAATCCCAAATAAATGGATTTTTAGGCGGTTTTGAAGCCCTGGACTCTGCTCGGGGCGGGATTTACCCACACCTGGGAGGTGCAAACACCTGCGGGAGAGGGGAGGGGAAAACCGGGAATTCCGCCCGTTTTGGGGTCTCTTTTTGGGGTTTATTTTGGGTAATTCTGACTTTATTTCAGAATATTTCCTCCCCGGGGTTAAATAATCCCGGGGTGGGGCTGTTTTATCAGGTGTGAACGCAGAAATTCCTCTGCAGGTGCCCGGAAATGATTTTAATTTCGGTTTTTATTGATTCTTGACCTGTGAATGAGCTCGGCCAAGGCAAAAAATCACCAAAATTCGGGTTTTTTTAGGATTATCTCCCAGATTTTCCAGGCTCTGTCAGGTGGGAAAACTCCAAGGGGCCAGACCTCTGTGATATTCCCATAAACCCCAAAAATTCCAGATTTCTGGCTCAGGGTGGGATTTTGGTTGGGATTTGTGAAATACTCCAAAGAAATCCGGGATAAATCCTAAGATTTGGGTTCCCAGAGGTTTTTGGGGTGTTGAAGGAATTGTGGGATTTTCCTCCCAATTCCACTGTGGGAATCGTGGATGAACCCTGGGACAATTCCCGGATTTTTGGGGGAATTTTGGGAGAGCTCCATGGAGAATCCACCGATGAGAAGCTCGGATTGGTCCAAAAAATGGGAAAACAACCCCCAAAAAAACCTGTTTGGATGTTCCCAGGCGGGAATTCTGCTCCAGGGAATCCAGAGCCTTTCAGCCTGACCTAATTCCAGCTTCATTTGCATAATCGCAGCCCAATTAATTCCAAGAACCCTCCGAGGCTCATTAACCCCATGGGCCGGGATGTTTTTCCCAATAAAATCAGGATTTTTTAGGAATTCCCTTTGGGAATTTGGCTCCTTGAAATAAAATCCCACAGGATGAGGGTTGGGTTTGTCTCCATTGAGGTTTGGGGTTGATGATTCCCGGTTTTCCAGCTCAGGGTTGTCCCAGCGTGTGAAAAATTGGAAAACCCCCCCAAAAAGAAAACCCCAAAACTCCCTGGGATGAGCCAGAGTGCGGCTTTAAACCGGGAATTGGGGATTGCTTTAATCTGGAGGAGCAAAGATTTGGGATTTTCTTTTCCCTCAAAAAACTCTCCTTCCCTTTCCTTGGAAAATCCAAAAATATAAGAAACATGGAAAAAAATTCTTTTCCCACAAAATGGAGAGCAGGTGTTTCCACTGACCCTGCTAACCCTGAGAATCCTGAAATTCCTGAAAATCCTGGAAACCCTGAAAATATTGAAAACCCCAAAAATCCTGAGAACTCTGAAAACCCTGAAAGCCCCAAAAATCCTAAATTCCGTGGATTTGGAGTCACCTCCACGTCTGAGGGATCCTGGAGAGGGAATTCCATGGATACCTCCACCATGCCTGGAGGGTCTTAAGGAGGGAATTCCATGGATCCATGGTTTGAGGATCCCAGGGAGGGAATTCCATGGATTTGGAGTCACCTCCACGGTTTGGGGATCCCTTGGAGGGAATTCCATGGATCCAGGGTCATCTCCATGGTTTGAGGATCCCAGGGAGGGAATTCCATGGATTTGAAGTCACCTCCACGGTTTGGGGATCCCTTGGAGGGAATTCCATGGATTCAGAGTCCAAACCAGGTCTGGGAGGTCTTGAGGAACTCCATGAATCCAGGGTCATCTCCAGTGTTTGGGCGAGCCCGGGGAGGGAATTCCATGGATCTGAAAAACCCCAAAAACCCTCGTAAATCCCACAAATCCCGGAGTAAATCCCCAATATCCCTCTGCAGCTGCTGGGGCTGCTGCTGCTGGCCGTGGGGATCTACGCCGAGGCGGAGCGGCAGCGGCACCGGACGCTGGAGGGGATCTTCCTGGCGCCGGCCGTGCTGCTGCTCCTGCTGGGATCCGGCGTCTTCCTGGTGTCCTTCGTGGGCATGGTGGGCAGCCTCCGCGACAACCGCGCCCTGCTGCGCACGGTGAGGAGGGGAACGGGTCCGGGAGGGCATCCCAGGGATTTGGGGTCATCTCCGTGGAGTTCCATGGGTCTGGTGTCATCTCCATGGAGTATCATGTCCAGGGATCCGGGGTCATCTCCATGGAGTTCCATGGGTCTGGTGTCATCTCCATGGAGTATCATGTCCAGGGATCCGGGGTCATCTCCATGGAGTTCCATGGGTCTGGTGTCATCTTCATGGATCCACGGTCATCTCCATGGAGTTCCATGGGTCTGGTGTCATCTCCATGGAGTATCATGTCCAGGGATCCGGGGTCATCTCCATGGAGTTCCATGGGTCTGGTGTCATCTCCATGGAGTATCATGTCCAGGGATCCGGGGTCATCTCCATGGAGTTCCATGGATCCGGCGTCATCTTCGTGGATCCACGGTCATCTCCATGGAGTTCCATGGGTCTGGGGTCATCTGCGTGGAATTCCATGGATCCAGGGTAATTTCCATGGCTTGGGAATTCCATGGATCCAGGGTCACCTCCATGGAGTTCCATGGATCTAGGGTAATTTCCATGGCTTGGGAATTCCATGCATCTGGGGTCGTCTCCATGGTTTGGGAATTCCATGAGTCCAGGGTCATCTCCATGGAATTCCATGGGTCCTGGGTCACCTCCGTGGTTTGGGAGGTCTTAAGGAGGAATTCCATGGATTCTGAGTTATCTCCATGGAGGGAATTCCATGGATCCGGAGTCATCTCCGTGGTTTGGGGATCCGTGGAGGAAATTCCATGGTATTTTCCCTCCCGAGGTTCATCCCGGGATGTGAATTCCCAAGGAAAATCGAATTCCCAGGAGCAACACCTCCTGCTCCGCGCCCAGCTGGGTTTTGTCGGAATGGGGCTGTGAAAAGCCAGGAATTGCGGGGGACAGGAAGGAGCAATCAGAGCCCTTGTGGGATCGGGAATTGTCCCTTCCAGGAGAATTCCCAGAACAAAAGCAATCAGGGAGAGAGGCCCTGGAGGAGCTCTTGGAGCTGAGCTGGGCCTGGCAGCTGCAGCTTTTGGGTTTTTTATGGAAAAACGGGGAAATTGTGTTTTAAAGGATCCAGATTTGTGTTTTAAAGGCTCCGCGGTTGTGTTTAAAAGGATCTGGGATTTGTGTTTTAAAGGATCTGGGATTGTGTTTAAACCTGGATTTGTGTGTAAAAGGATCTGGGATTTGTGTTTGGAAGAATCCAGATTCATGTTTAAAAGGATTTGGGATCTTGCTTAAAAGGATCCAGGATTGTCTTTAAAAGGATCCAGGATTTCTGCTCAAAAGATCCAGGGTTGTGTTTAACCTGGATTTGTGTTTAAAAGGATTGGGAATCTTGTTCCAAAGGAGCTGGTATTTTTGTTTTAACCTGGATTTGTGTTTTAGAGGGTCTGGGGCTGGTGTTCTCCTGTGGTTTGTCCCCGAGGCTGTGGAATTCCCGCTGGAATCCCGGCTGATTTGTGCCCCTCTCGGTGGAATTCCCGCTGGAATTTGGCTGATTTGTGCCCCTGGGTGCAATTCCCTCTGGAATTCCAGCTGATCCGTGCCCGCTCGCTCGGGTGGAGCTGACAGCTCCATCCATCTCCCGCCTCCGCGGCCGCTCCGCTCCCGTTCATCCACCGGGAACGCGCCGGTCCCGACAGCCCCAAATCCCCGGGATCGATGGCCTGGAAACCCCAACCCCCACCCACGGGATTTGGGCTCCGGAGGGGGAGGAATTAACCCCAGATTTGCTCCGGAGGGACAGGAATTAAACCCAAACTTGATCCAGAGGGAGAGGAGTTAACCCCAGATTTGCTCCGGAGGGACAGGAGTTAAACCGCCCGAATTTGGTGTCTTGGGGCTGGAATGTCCGGATTTGGGAATAATTAACGAGGAACAAAACCTCGGAGATCGTTAAGGGAGGGAAGGAGCAGCTCCCAGAGGGATTCATCAATTCCCGAGGTTGCTGCGGGAATTGGGATTGATGAGCTCGTTAGCGGCCGCGTTAATTGAATCGGAATCAAGCAGCTCTTCCTGACTCAGCATCCAGGGCCGGAGAAAGATTTCCTCGGGAGGTTTCTCCAAGAAATGCAGAATTTGTTTGGAGCTTTGTTCAGGGGGACACCCTCGGGATCCTTCCCAGTCCCTCCCCGATCTCCTTCCCAGTCCCTTCCCAGTCCCTTCTCCATCCCTCCTCATCCCACCCAATCTTTCCTGATCCTTCCCAATCTCCTTCCCAATCTTCTTCCCAGTCCCTCCCAGTCCCCTCTCTGGGATGAACGGTGACACATGGGGACACCAAGGCGGAATTTTGGCCAAAATTCCAGGAAAAAAACAGAATTCCATTGGCGAATTCCTCATTTCCCATGGGGAAAATCGGGGTCGGATCCGGGGTCACCCGTCCTCTCCTCCTTCCAGTTCTTCTGGGTGCTGCTGCTGATCTTCCTGACGGAGCTGCTGCTGATCCTGGTGGAGATCATCTTCGAGAGCAAGGTGGGAATTAATTTCAGTATGCAAATGAGCTTTGTTGAGATGCAAATGAGGAACAGGAAAAATCAGGTGGATAGAAGTTCCTTGGCTTGGACATGCCAATGGGAATGGATTCAGACAGCTCCAAAATTGTGGATTTTATCCCAAAAAATCACCCTGGGATGGGGTAAATCCCTCCTCTGGGATGAAAACCATGGAATTTTGGGCTGTTACCCAAGAATTTTCCCAACTTTTGGGTTTCTCCGTCCCAGATGAACGAGGTTTTCCACTCCAACATCCAGGAGGGAATCCGGCACTACTACGACGACCTGGACTTCAAAAATATCCTGGATTTTGTGCAGGAAAAGGTTTGGATGGGAAAAGGGGGAAGTTTCCCAAGGAATGCTTAATCCCATCCCTGTTCCCCGTGGATTTTTAGGATTTTTCCCTGGATTTTTAGGATTTTTCCCTGGATTTTCCATTTTTATTCCCATTCCTGGGGCGTTTTCCTTGGATATCTTCACTCGGTTTGGGGTTTTTTCCTTTTGCCTCCCTGAGTTCAGCCCAGAGGGATTTTTTGGGAATTATCCTGGGATTTGTGAAAAATGAAGAATCAAAATCCCAAAATTTGAGGAGGGAATTCTTGGACTGGGGAGCAGGGCCTGGTTTTGAGCATTTCCAAATGAGAAAAAAATGGAAAATCCCAAAATTTGAGGAGGGAACTCTGAGAATCCAGGAAAATCCTGAAATCTGTGCCTGGGATGGAGCAGAGCAGGAAGATCCCAAGAATTTTCCTTGCTTTTCGTTGGAAAATGGGGGCAGAGGGAAAAATCTTTCTCAAAATCTGCTCCTGGATGAATTTGGTGCTTAAAAAATGGGAAAAATCCAGACCAGGCTCGTTTTCATTCCGTGGAGGATTCAGAGTGACTTTGATTGGAATTTTTTTTATCTTCGCTGCGGGAAAAAAAGAGATTTTTATTTGAATTTTTCCCTTTGTAGCTGCAGGATTTGATCCCAATTTATCCTGACAGGAAGAGAAATCCCTGAGGGGCTGGTGGGGATTTTATGGGATGGCTGAGAGCCCCCAAATCCATCCCTGCCTCGGGAAAAAACGGATTTGTCACCTGGAATTAAAGCGTGGAAGTGGGGATGGATCCGAGCCATGCCCAAATCCCTCTAAAATGGGAATAAATGGGAAAAATTCCCTTTTTTTTTTTACCCTTCAGCTTCTTCAGGAGCAGGGAAAAATTGGGAAGTGGAGATGCAGGGAATGGGATTGGAACTCTGGAATGGATAGGATCCTAAAATTCCCCTTCCCCATCCCAGGGTGTTCCAGCCAAAGAATCCAAAATTCCCTGGGAATTCCATCCCTGCCCTTTTCAACCCTCCCAGGGAGGAATTCCCATTATCCCAATTAATGATTATCCCAATTAATTATCCCTGTGCCCACGGGAATCCGTTCCCTGTTCTCCAAGGGCTGATCCCAAACCCCCTCTCCAGGATTTTTAAGGAATTTCCCTGGGAATTCCATCCCCGCCCTCCCAGGGAGGGATTTCCCCCCAAAATCCCAACCCCAAATCCCTTTGGAGTGGGAATCCCTTCCCGTTTCCCCTGGAATTTTTGGGGTTTTCCAGCCCTTCCCTCTCTCTGTGTTTTTCCTGCAGTTTTCCTGCTGTGGAGGGGACGAATTCCGGGATTGGGAAGTGAACCAGTACCACCAGTGCAACGGCAGCGGGGCCCTGGCCTGCGGGGTGCCCCACTCCTGCTGCGTCAGAGGGGTGAGTGGGAAAACGTCCCAGAATTCCTGGGAGAAATGCCAAAATTCCTGTGAAAAAAATCCCAAAATTCCCAGGGAAAAATCCCAAAATTCCCAGGAAAAAATCCCAAAATTCCTAGGAGAAATCTCCTCATTCTCTTCTGCCCCACTCCTGCTGCGTCAGAGGGGTGAGTGGGAAAACGTCCCAGAATTCCTGGGAAAAAATCCCAAAATTCCTGGGAGAAATCCCAAAATTCCTGGGAAAAAAATCCCAAAATTTGGAGGAAATCTCCTCATTCTCTTCTGCCCCACTCCGGCTGCATCCGAGGGGGAGTGGGAAAATGTCCCAGAATGCCTGGGAGAAAATCCCAAAATTCCTGGGAAAAAAATCCCAGAATTTGGAGGAAATCTCCTCATTCCCCTCTGCCCCACTCCTGCTGAGTCAGAGGGGTGAGTGGGAAAAAAATCCCAAAATTCCTGGGAAAAAAATCCCAAAATTTGGAGGAAATCTCCTCATTCTCTTCTGCCCCACTCCGGCTGCATCCGAGGGGGAGTGGGAAAATGTCCCAGAATGCCTGGGAGAAAATCCCAAAATTCTTGGGAAAAAAATCCCAAAATTCCTAGGAGAAATCTCCTCATTCTCTTCTGCCCCACTCCTGCTGCGTCAGAGGGGTGAGTGGGAAAAAATCCCAAAATTCCTGAGAAAATCCCAGAATTTGGAGGAAATCTCCTCATTCCCCTCTGCCCCACTCCTGCTGAGTCAGAGGGGTGAGTGGGAAAAAAATCCCAAAATTCCTGGGAAAAATCCCAGAATTCCTAGAAGAAATCCCAAAATTTCTGGGAAAAATCCCAAAATTCCAGGGAAATCCCCTCTGCCCCATTCCTGCTGCTTCAGAGGGATGAACAGGGAGAAATATCCCAGAATTCCAGGGAAAAATCCCAAAATTCCTGGGAAAAATCCCAAAATTCCCAGGAAATCCCCTCCAAAATTTTGTGAAGCAACCCCTATATTTTGTTCAAAATTTGTTAATCCAACCCCAAAATTTTACTAAGATTTGGTTTCATCCAGCCCTGCTCCTGCAGGGATTCCATCCCAGGATGAAACCTCAGGATCCTGAAAATCCTGAGCGAGGCCGGGAGAGTTTGGGAGAGGTCCCAAAAAGCAGAATTCCTCATCAATCCCTCATTGTTTTTCATGGAAAAAGAAGGAAATGTGAAGGGGTTTAATGAGGCTGATATGCAAATGAGATGCAGATTTGAGCTCCTCTCTAATCAAGGCCTTGATTAAGGATCCTGAGGCTCCTGGAGATGGAATCAGGGGTTCCTGCAGGGAGCCCAAGGAGCTTTTTTGGGGATTTTTCCACTCCCGTAGCTTTTTTTGGGACAATTTGGTAAAAATAAAACCTGAACGGGTTTGAGGGAAAAATCCCCTTAATCCAGAGGGGGAGAATTTTGGGAGCTTTTCTTGGGAATGCTGAAGGTGGCCTTGGAGCAGCCTGGGATTTTGGGGTTTTGTCCCCGATGTGGGATGGGATTCACGGCCCCTTCCCACCCAAACCACTCCAGGATTGCCCAAGCTGTGCTCCAGGAGGAAAACGCATGGAATTTCCATGAATCCACGGAATTTCCATGTTTTTTCCAAGAGAGAAAGCCCCTGGCTGTGGCGCTGAGGGTTTTTGGGAAGTGAGACCTCCCCAAAGGCTCTGGAACCTGGGAAGCACCAAAACCTTGGGATGGATTTGGCCTCGTTCCTTAAGGAGCCAGAATTCCAGGAAAAGAACCAGGAGAGCCAAATCCTTTGGGAATTTCCTGGCCTTCAGTCCCATCCAGGGCCACCCATGGGGACAATTCCCACTGTCCCAGGTGGCTCCAGCCTGGCCTGGGACATTCCCAGGGATCCAGGGGCAGCCCCAGCTCCTCTGGGAATTCCATCCCAGCCCTCCCCACCCTCATTCCATCCCAAAATCCCGTTTCATTTTCCCACTTTGGAGCCATTCCCAGTATCCTGTCCCTCCACCCCTTATCCCAAATCCTTCTCCAGCTCTCCTGGAGCCCCTTTCAGGCCCTGGAATGTTCTGGAAGCTCTCCCTTGAATTTCCCTTCACCAGGGGAACATTCCCAGCTCTCCCAGCCCAGCTCCAGAATCCTGGAATGGTTTGTGTTGGGATTTGCCCTGAAGACCCCTCAGTCCCAGGGACACCCCAAATTCCAAGGGTTGTCCTGTGCTGGGCACCTCTGGAATTCCTGATTTCCTTTGGATTTCTGGTGTTTTCCCAGGGTAAATCCGTGCCCTTTCCCAGGACAGACCCCTCCCCTTTCCCGGGATAGACCCCTCCCCTCTCCCGGGATAACCCCTCCCCTTTCCCAGGATAAACCCCTCCCCTCTCCCGGGATAACCCCTCCCCTCTCCCGGGATAGCCCCTCCCCTCTCCCGGGATAACCCCTCCCCAATCCCGGGATAACCCTGCCCGTTCTCCGCAGGCTCCCGGAGCAGTGGTGAACACCCTGTGCGGGTACCGCGCCCTGGACAAGGAGGTGACCTTGGAATTTCTGGGAATTCTCTGCTCCTCTTTCCCCCAATCCCAAAAATCAAACTCTCCCTGCGGGAATTCCCCTTCCCCAGCTGCTCCCAGCTCGGCTTTGGGGCTTTTCCCTGGAATTTTGGGGCACTAGATGCCCTGGGATTCTCACCTGGGAATGGCCTCAACCCTTCCCAGCGGGAGGAGGATGGAGGGACCAGCCCAGGATCCCCTCAGGGATCCTCCAAGTGCAGAAATGTGGGAATTCCCAGCAGAATTCCCAGCAGAAATGTGGGAACGGAAATTCCTTACAGGAATTCCCAGCTGGGGCAGGCCCCAGCTGAGGGAATTTGGTGCTCCAGGATCTCTCCCAGGGCCCCAAAAGTTGGGATTTAATCCCATCTCAGCTCCAAGACTTCCTCTGGAAGCACAAGAACAAAAATCCCTCCCCTGGGGCGCTGATCTGGGTCCAAAAACCCCAACCCGATGCTGTTCCTGCCAAAATTCCTGGGAAAGCCGTGGAAAAGTCCCCAAATTCCCGGGAATTTGGGATCCCCTCTCTGCCCCCCAGCGCCTGGAGCTGCTCGGCACCATCCACGTCCGGGGCTGCATCCACGCCGTGGGGCTCTGGCTCAAGGACAACTTCCAGACCACCCTGGCCATCGTCTGCTCCCTGCTGCTGCCTCAGGTACGGCTGCCATTCCCAAATTCCCCAGCTCCCAGCTGCCATTCCCAAATTCCCCAGCTCCCAGCTGGAAGGAGCCGCCAGGATCAGGGCGACCCCGCGGTTTTGGGTTCTCAGCGCCGAGGGCTCAGCTCCTTTCCCCTGCTGGAGGGTGGGAAAATCCTTTGGGATCCCTGTTCCATCTGGGATTTGTGGTTGGGGCAGGGAAAGTCATCCTAATCCATTAACAGCCGGTTGCTAATTGGGAATGCTAATGGGGTTGCTAATTGTGAATGCCGATGGGGAGAAATCCGCGGGAATTCCAGCCCTGATGGGTCTGGAGTGGAGCCGTTAATGGGCAGTGCTGGGGGCATTAATTGGGAATGCTGATGGATCTGGAGTGGTGCTATTAATTGGGAATGCTGGGGACAAATCCCTGGAGTGCTGATGGAGGTGGAGTTCCTCCCATGGCCGGGAGAATCCAGGATCCCCCAAATCCAGGAGCATCCTGGCCCTTTTGAAGGGAAAACCCCCATCCCACGGGAGAGGCTGTGTTCATTTTTCCATTTGGAGCCAGGCACGAACTCCACCTCCATCCACCCTTGGAATTCTCTTTGTTTCCATTCCACGCTCCGTGCCTTCCATCCCCCACATTCCTGTCACTCCCAAGGACCTTCTCATCCCAAAATCCCGCCGTGGCCTGGGGCTGGCTGTGTTTCATCTCGGAGCAGCCCCGGGTTTCCAGCTCATCCATCCTTTTCCTGCCTCCAGTGGCTCCTCCAGGGGCTGGGGACGTGCTCGGGGTGGGAATGAGCCTCAAAATCTCAGCCTTGTTCTGCCAGGCTCCAGCTCGTTCCTTCCTGAGCCTTTCCAGGGATTTTTTTAATGGGTGTTGTTGCAGAGAATCCTGGAATGGTTTGGGTTGGGAAGGAGCTTCGGGGTCCCATCCCACCCCTGCCATGTGCAGGGACAATTTCCACTGTCCCAGGTGGCTCCAGCCTGGCCTTGGGCACTGCCAGGGATGTGGGACACTTCCCACCTGCTCTGGGAATTCCATCCCAGCCCCTCCCCGTTCTCATTCCATCCCAAAATCCCATCTCAATCTCCCCTTCCCCAGTGGGAAGCCATTCCCTGTGTCCTGTCCTTCCATCCCTTATCCCAAATCCCTCTCCAGCTCTCCTGGAGCCCCTGCAGGCCCTGGAATGTGCTGGAAGCTCTCCCTGGATCCTTCCCTTCTCCAGGGGAACATTCCCAGCCCTCCCTTCTCCAGGGGAACATTCCCAGCTCTCCCTTCTCCAGGGGAACATTCCCAGCTCTCCCTGGAATTTCCCTTCTCCAGGGGAACATTCCCAGCTCTCCCAGCCCGGCTCCATCCCTGGGATCATTCCCTGCCCCTCTCAGCACCGCAGTAAAACAGAAACAGCAGCAGCAAAACCTCTGCAATCCTTGTTTTTCCCCTTAAAAACCGGGATTTTTTTCCCACCCCCAAGAAGCAGAAAAACGAGAGGATCCTGCAGATCCCTGCTGAGGGCTCCATCCATCCCAGAGAATTATTTCTCCCTCTGTCCCATCCATCTCGGTGTGGGGGCGGCCGTTCCCTCCCCGGAGCGTCAGTCCTGGAGATGGACGATGCCATTCCATGAAAAACGTGGAATTTTCCTCCAGCCGGGCGTTTTCCAGGCTGGCACCTTCATCTCCCTGTGACAGGGATGGAAAATCTCAGCGTTTCCTTGGAAGATTGATTTGGGATTTGTTCATTCCCCAATCTCCCCCACGGCTCCGGGGGTTCTCTGAGCGTTGTCGGGGTGGGAAAAGGGAATGAAGGGGATTTTTCCATCTGAGCTCTCCATAAATCCCAATTTGGGAATGGAAAGCCAAAAAAGGAGGGGAAAAAACCCCACTTTGGGCTTTGTTAACTCTGGGGAAGTTCAGCATTCTGGGTGAGCAGGATCCAGCCAGAACTGGGGGATGTTCCCAAATTTCCATGGATTTCTGCAGGGAATTTTCCTTGCTGGAGTCAGGCACAGCCCATCCCTAAGGCAAAACCTCCATGGACTTCCTTTTCCCATTGGAAAATGGGGCGAAAATGGAAATTTGAGCCTTTTCCTTATTCCTGAGCCCCTTTTCCAGAGAAGGAGGAGGAGAGGATCTGGGACCATTCCCAGGAGGATTTGGGACCATTCCAGCCCCAATTCCCAGTGGAAAACTGATCCAAAGGAACCAACAGAGACCCCATGAGCTAAGCTGGGCTTTGGGATGGAGCTGAGCCTTGGAATTCTCCATGGGAGACAGGAGTCAGGTCTAGAGGAACCACGGAAAGCTTTGGGTTGGGAGGGACCTCAGGACCATCCCAGTCCATGGAATTCCCAGATTCCCACTGGAAATTTTATGGATTCCCAAAGCTCCTGGGATTTATGGATTTTTTATGGATTCCCAAAGCTCCTGGGATTTATTTCCCCTCTGGGGGAGCAGCTTTTCCATGGATTTGCACCCCCTGGGCACTCAAATCCCACAACAAAAAACCTGGGAAGGGCGGAATTCCATCCAGCAAGAACCAACACTTCCAGTGGCAACAATTCCTGGATCCCAATCCCAGAAAAAATTCCGTTTTTTCCTTTTCCCAGCCTCAGCCCTGCCCCGTTCTGCTCCCCTGTGCTGGCTCCCCCGAGCTCGGCGGTGCCGTAACCGCGCGGAGCCGAAATTGGCACATCCATAATTCCTGACAGCTCCCTGATTCCTGGTTGTATTCCCTTTAATTCCCCCTTTTCTCTGGGTTTGGATCCTTTTATTCCCTTTTATTCCCTGTTTTCTCTGGAATTTGGAATCCTCACTGAGGGGTTTGGATCCTTTTATTCCCTTTTATTCCCCATTTTCTCTGAGGTTTGGATCCTTTTATTCCCTTCCAGAATCCCCATTTTTTCTGGGATTTGGAATCCCAACTGAGGGGTTTGGATGCTTTTATTCCCTTTTATTCCCCATTTTCTCTGGGATTTGGGATCCTGACTGAGGCCTTTGGATGCTTTTATTCCCTTCCATAATTTCCATTTTTTCTGGGATTCCTCAGCAGGAGGAGCAGGAGCCATCCCTGCCTCAGACCTGGCTCTGTTTCCATGGAATGCAAACACAAATCCTTCCAGGAGGCAAAAAATGACAAATTTGCCCCAAATCCCACATTTCAAAGGGATTTTTATGGGACTGGTGACAGTTCCATAATGGGAGCGAGGCTGCAGCTCGACATCCGTGGAAACGGGATTGCAAAACCCAAATTCCGAAGGGTGGGGATCAGCACAATCCCATTATTATCCCATTATTATCCCATTATTATCCCATTATTATCCCATTATTATCCCGTTATCCCAGTGGTGTCCCCTGCTCCCCCTGCAGTTCCTGGAATTCTGGAGCCCTTCCCAAAAATCCCACCCAGGATGAGGCAGCCTCATTCCAGGCTGTGGGATAACAGGGAATTCCCAGGGAATTCCCAGAGAATTCCAGATTTTCCCTTCAGCCCTGCTGTGCTTTTTCCAATCCTGAATTCCTGGAGCTGGGAAAGCCCTGGGACCGTGCAGCAACCCCAGGATTGGGATCGACCCCATTCCCAGAAATACCAAACTGGGAATCCCTGCCAGGGACTGGGAAAGTGGGAATGGGGCAGGAGCCACTGAGGATGGGCATTCCCAAGGGTGGGATTTTCTGCTTTTTCTGGCTTTGGGATCCATGGAAATCCCCTTGGGATCCACTTCCAGGTGGATTTGGGAAGGAAGAATCAGCACTGAGCCATTCTGTGGGTTCTGTGCAGCCCGTCCTGGAATCCATGGCTGGTTTGGGTGGGATTTTGGGGAGAAATACTGGAATAGTCCTGGGATCAGCAGGACTGGGAATTGTCCCCTTTTAGGATGTCCCTGTCCCCTCTGGGATATCCCTGCCCCCTTTGGGATATCCCTGTCCCCTTTTGGGGTGTCCCTGTCCCCTTTTAGGATCTTCCTGTCCACTTTGGGGTCCCCCTGACCCTTTGGGGTGTCCCCCTGACCCTTTGGGGTGTCCCTGACACTTTTTAGGGTATCCCTGACCCCTTTTAGGATATCCCTCATTCCTTTGGCGTGTCCCTGTCCCCTTTTGGGGTATCCCTGACCCTTTGCAGTGTTCCTGTCCCCTTTGGGGTCCCCCTCTCCCCTTTTGGGGTATCCCTGACCCCTTTTAGGATATCCCTGTCCCCTTTGGGGTGCCCCTGACCCTTTGGGGTGTCCCTGTCCCTTTTAGGATCTCCCTGTCCCTTTTAGGATCTCCCTGTTCTCTTTGGGGTGCCCCTGTCCCCTTTGGGGTGTCCCTGACCCCTTTGGGGTATCCCTGACCCTTTGGGGTGCCCCTGACCCTTGGGGTGTCCCTGTCCCCTTTGGGATGCCCCTGACCCTTTGGGATGCCCCTGACCCTTTGGGTGCCCCTGACCCCTGGGGTGTCCCTGTCCCCTTTGGGGTGTCCCTGTCCCCTTTGGGGTGTCCCTGTTCCCTCTGGGTGCCCCTGACCCTTGGGGTGTCCCTGACCCCTTGGGGTGTCCTGTCCCCTTTGGGGTGTCCCTGTCCCCTTTGGGGTGTCCCTGTCCCCTTTGGGGTCCCCCTGACCCTTTGGGATGCCCCTGACCCTTTGGGGTGCCCCTGACCCTTGGGGTGTCCCTGTCCCCTTTGGGGTGTCCCTGTCCCCTTTGGGGTGTCCCTGTCCCCTTTGGGGTGTCCCTGTCCCCTTTGGGGTCCCCCTGACCCTTTGGGATGCCCCTGACCCTTTGGGGTGCCCCTCCCCTTTGGGGTGTCCCTGTCCCCTTTGGGGTGTCCCTGACCCTTTGGGGTGTCCCTGTCCCCTTTGGGTGCCCCTGACCCCTGGGGTGCCCCTGACCCCTGGGGTGTCCCTGTGCCAGGTGCTGGGGCTGGCCATGGCCTGGCTGCACTGGCAGCAGCTGGACGAGCTCCGTTCCCGGTGGGATTCCGTGGACTCGCGGCCGCTCCCGGCGGCTCCCGGCGCGGCCCCGCTGGATCTGCGCGGCGCCGGCTGCTGCTGGTGCCTGCCCCGGGAGGGCGGCTACGGGAGCACCGGGGACACCGGGGACACCGGGGAGGAGGAGGAGGAGGAGGAGGAGGAAGGAGCCGCCTGCCACCGCAAAGCGTGAGGAGCGCTCGGACTCGCACTTGGACTTGGAGCGGAACGTGGGAAAAATGGGATTTTTCTTCTTAGATCCTGGATTTCCTTGGGAAAAAATGGGATTTTCCTTCTCAGGTCCTGGATTTCCTTTGGGAAACTGGAAAAAAAATGGGATTTTTCCCTCTCAGATCCCAAAATTTCTTTGGGAAAATTGGAAAAAAATGGGATTTTCCCTCTCAGATCCTGGATTTCCTTTGGGAAAAAATGTGCACCGGGGACACCGGGGACACCGGGGAGGAGGAGGAGGAGGAGGAGGAGGAAGGAGCCGCCTGCCACCGCAAAGCGTGAGGAGCGCTCGGACTCGCACTTGGACTTGGAGCGGAACGTGGGAAAAATGGGATTTTTCTTCTTAGATCCTGGATTTCCTTGGGAAAAAATGGGATTTTCCTTCTCAGGTCCTGGATTTCCTTTGGGAAACTGGAAAAAAAATGGGATTTTTCCCTCTCAGATCCCAAAATTTCTTTGGGAAAATTGGAAAAAAATGGGATTTTCCCTCTCAGATCCTGGATTTCCTTTGGGAAAAAATGCGATTTTTCTTCTCACATCATGGATTTTTCTTGGGAAAAAATGGGATTTTTCCTCTCAGGTCCTGGACTTCCTTTGGGAAACTGGAAAAAAATGGGATTTTTCTTCTTAGATCCTGGATTTTCCTTGGGGAAAAATGGGATTTTTCTTCTTAGATCCTGGATTTCCTTGGGGAAAAAATGGGATTTTTCTTCTCACATCATGGATTTTTCTTGGGAAAAAATGGGATTTTTCCCTCTCAGATCCCAAAATTTCTTTGGGAAAATTGGGGAAAAAATGGGATTTTCCCTCTCAGGTGCTGGATTTCCTTTGGGAAAACTAGAAAAAAATGGCATTTTTATTGTCATCTCCCATTGGGAAAACTGTAAAGAATGGGGTTTTTCTTTTCTTCTGGAAAATTGTAAAAAAAAAAAAGGATTTTTATTTTCAGCTCCTATTGGGAAAATGGAAAAAAAAAAAAAAAAAGATTTTTCTTCTCAGGTCCTGAATTTTCCTTGGGGAAAAAATGGGATTTTTCTTCTTAGATCCTGCATTACCTTTGGGAAAACTGGAAAAAAAAAAAGGGATTTTTATTCTCGTCTCCCATTGGGAAAATTGGGAAAAAGTGAAAGGGAAAAGGAAAAAACTGAAAGGGAAATAGTGAAGGGGAAAGGGAAAAAAAGGGAAAGGAAAAGGGGGAAAGAGAAAGGAAAAAATGAAATTAAAAGGGAGAAGTGAAAGGAAAAGGAAAAAAGGGAAAGGAAAGGGGAAAAGAAATGGGGGGAAGTGAAATAAAGAAGGGGGAATAGAAGGAAAAAGGGAAAAAAGTGAAAAGAGAAAAATGTGAGGAAAAAGGGGGAAAGTGAAAAAAAGAGGAACCAAAATTAGTTTTTCCTAGGAGCAAAGAAAATCCTGTTTTTTTCTGATTCTTTGGGATATTTGGGGAGCAGGGCCTGGATCCTGAGGATTCCCAAACTCCCGGGCTCTGTCTCCCTCTCCCGACCATTTCCAGCTTTCCCTTGATCCCACCCAGCCCAAATCCCAGCCTAAACCAGCCCCAGTCCTGGCCTAAACCAGCTGTTATTCCCAGCCTAACCAATCCCAGCCCCAATCCCAGCCTAAACCAGTCCCAATCCAGCTCAATTCCCAACCTAAACCATCCCCAATTCCCAGCCCAAACCAGCCCCAATCCCAGCCCCAATCCCAGCCCAATCCCAGCCCCAAGCAGCCCCAGTCCCCTCTGATCCTGGTTTTTCTCTGATGAGGGGCTGGGATTGGGTGGGATTTATTGATGTTCCCATAAAAGGCTGCAGGGAGCCACGGCCGAGATTCCTGACCCCGAATTCATGGGGTGGAAAGGAAAACGTGGAATTGGGAACAATTCCAGGGGAATTCCTGACCCTAAACCTGCCCAGGCTGGGGGGCTGAGCCCGGCTCTCCAGGGGGTTTGGGATCATCCCATGGATGGGGGTTTGGGATCATCCCACTGAGTGGGATTTAGGATCATCCCAGTGCTGGGTTTGGGATCATCCCATGGATGGGCATTTGGGATTATCCTACTGAGGGGATTTGGGATCATCCCATGGATGGGGGTTTAGGAACTTCCCATGGATGGGGGTTTGGGATTATCCAGTTGAGGGGATTTGGGATCATCCTAGTGCTGGGGTTTTGGGATCATCCCATGGAAGGGGATTTGGGATCATCCCATGGATGGGGGTTTGTGATTATCCAACTTGAGGGGACTTAGGGTCATCCCAGTGCTGGATTTGGGATCATCCCATGGATGGAGGTTTAGGAACTTCCCAGTTGAGGGGATTTGGGATCATCGCACTGCTGGAACTCCCTGCCATTCCCTAAACTCCAGACACAAAAACCAGAGCAGTTCCCCCCCAAATCCCTCAAACCAATCCAAAACCCACAGAAAAAAAAATCCCCCAAGACAGCCCCACAAACCCAAACCCAAGCTTGGGGCGGGTTTCCCCCATCCCAGCGATCCCCCTGGACAGCCCATCCCTGTGTGGGGCTGATCCCATAGGGTCCCCCTCCCTTCTCCCTCTCCCTCCCGTGATCCTCCGCGCTCCAGCCGCGATCGATCGATCGATCGATCGGCGCCTCCCAAGCCAGCCAGACACAAAAACCAGAGCAGTTCCCCCCCAAATCCCTCAAACCAATCCAAAACCCACAGAAAAAAAAATCCCCCAAGACAGCCCCACAAACCCAAACCCAAGCTTGGGGCGGGTTTCCCCCATCCCAGCGATCCCCCTGGACAGCCCATCCCTGTGTGGGGCTGATCCCATGGGGTCCCCCTCCCTTCTCCCCCTCCCTCCCGTGATCCTCCGCGCTCCGGCCGCGATCGATCGATCGATCGATCGGCGCCTCCCAACCCAGCGGGATCGGGATCGGGATCGGGATCGGGGCCGGCGCTTTGGGCTCGCTGGGATGTTGGGAAGAGCAGCTCTGACTCCCGGCAGTCCTGACTTCCCCTGACCCCACAGCCCGATCCCAAATCTCTCTTTGGGGAGCTCCAGGTGAGTTTGGAAGGGGAAATCTCGTTTTTGGGGAAATCTCGGTTTTGGGGTCTCGCGGGATCGGGGCCGGCGCTTTGGGGTCACTGGAAGAGCAGCTCTGACTGCCAGGAATCCCAGCTTCCCCTGACCCCACAGCCCGATCCCAAATCTCTCTTTGGGGAGCTCCAGGTGAGTTTGGAAGGGGAAATCTCGTTTTTGGGGAAATCTCGGGTTTGGGGTTTCACGGGCTTGGCTTTCCTGCCTGGATTTCCCTGGAATTCCAGTTGGGTTTTCCGGCTCTAATTCCTGCTCCCGGTTGGGTTTTAGGGAATTAAGGGGGGAAAAGCTCCCTGTGGGAAAAATCCCAGATTGTCCGACCCCAGAATCGATCGGGAGCTTGCGTTTAACCGTGCCTAACAAAGCCTGGCTTTACCCCAGGGTTCTTTGTCCTTCCCAGCTCATCCTGATTCCCAAAAAAATCCTGTTTTTTCCCGGAATTATCCCAGCTGGAAGGGTTTGTATCCCAATCCATCACCTGGGACCCCCGACCTGCTGGGATTTCCTGGGGGTCGGGATCCTTCATCTTCTAAAAGGTCATTTTAGACTAAAACTATCCCTGGGGGGTGTTTTCCTGCTTTTTCTGCTTTTCCAGCTTCCTAAAATCCTCAGAGTTCACCCCGGACTGTTTTTGGGAAGCCAAGGCTCATGGATGATGTTATCCCTAAAACTGCCCAGTCTGGGTTTTCCCTCCTGAGGAAAAACCCTAAATTTGTTTTCCCTTAAATTAAATCAATTCCTGCCAAAATTGTCGGATTGATGGAAAAAATCCCAAATCTTGGAAGTCAAATTTAAATCTCAGCCAGGCTAGGACTGGAGTTGGACTGTGATAAACTGGATTTAATTTGGACAGGGATAACCTGGATTTGAGCTGGTTTGGGATGAACTGGATTTGAGTTGGACTGGGATAACCTGGATTTAAACTGGTTTAGGATAACCTGGATTTAATTTGGACCAGGATAAACTGGATTTAATTTGGACCGGGATAAACTGGATTTAATTTGGACCGGGATAAACCAGCTTTTAGTTGGAGACCAGGATAAACTGGATTTAATTTGGACCGGGATAAACTGGATTTAATTTGGACCGGGATAAACCAGCTTTTCCCAGCTAAAAAGGGTCAGGAATTCCCGCTCTGCCAGCCCCAGAGGAGGCTCAGGGTGTTCCCATTTCCAAGTTTTTTGGACGGATTTGAGGTTTTTCTCCCCGAAAGAGCTGGAAAATGCAGGAATGCTGCTCGGGATCGCCCTCTGAGTGACTTTGGGAGCATCGACCGGGCCGGGAATGGAAACAGCCGCGCCCGGGCAGCCGAGTGTGAAAGGCAATCGCTGGAGCTCGGCTAATTAGGGAGTCGTTAATTAATTCATCAGCGTCCCTGGCAGATCCCCACCGGGATCAAAGGGGGAAACGGCTGGAAGTGGAAAGGAAATGTGGGATCAGGGATGGGGACAGGAAAATTTGGGCTGGGAAATCCCTTTGGGATGTGTGGGGTCACCCCGGAGTAATGGGGGGCTCCAGAATCCCAGAAAATTTGTGTTGGGAATTCTGCCAGGCTCTGGAATTTGGGGGAATTTGTGTCCAGGGATTGTGCCAGGCTCTGGAATTTGGGGAAAGTCGTGTCCGGAATTGTGCTGGGAAGTCTCTGGAATGTTCTCTTGGACCCTCTGAGCAGCAGGAATTGGAGGATGGGGATGGGATCCCAGGGAAATTTTGGGAACACGGGGAGAGGAGAGCAGGGGTGGCACCGGGCAGGGCAGGGGTGGCACAGGAGGTGCCCAAGGGTCCCCACTGATCCCACGGGGAATCCTGCTGGGATATTCCCGGGTGAAGGATTCCAGAGCAGGGAGCTCCTGGCAGGTGTGCAGAGAGCTTCTTCCCCTCCCAGATCCCATAAAATCCCAGATGCCATAAAATCCCAAATTCCACTCAAATCCCAGATCGCACTCAGATCCCGTTCCCAATCCTTCCCCAGCTCCCCCGAGCAGCTGGACCATGCTGGAGGATGAGGATGGGATGAGCGAGCGCGGCCTCGGCGGCTCCCGGAGGAGATTCGAGGATGAGGAAGGTGAGAGAAATCCTGGGAATGTCCCGGAGCAGATTTTTTGGAATTTTTTATTCCAATTATCTCTCCATCCACATCATTTTCACTAGGAATTTTTCTCCCAGAAAAATGAATTTTTTGCTGAAATTATCACTCCACGTGTAGACCATTTTCACCAGGAATTTTTCTCCCAGAAAAATCAAATTTTCACTCCATTTATCACCCTACCCACATCGTTTCCACCCTGAAACCCCATTTTTTTAACCCCTTCCTCCCTCATTCCCAGACTACCACTCCATCTACATCGGGGTGCCGGTGCCGCGCGGCTTCCGCAGGAAACGGCGCCGCCGGCGCTCGCCGGGCTCCAGCCGCGAGCGCAGCGGCAGCGAGCGCCACTTCGGGCCCCGCGAGCCCTCGGACACCGACGAGGGCCAGGGCTGGCCCGAGAGTGGCAACGACAACGCCAGCAGGACCAGTGAGTGCCCAGAGTGCCCAAAAAATCCGGGGAGGGATTCTGGAGTCGCGGTTGGATCGGCTCGGCTTCGCGGTGCGGCGACGCCGCTCCGCCCGGTTGTTGGTCCTGTTGGGACCTGATGGGGTTGGAGGGGGTTTCCTGCTGGGATTGGGGATCCCCACAGCCTTCACACCGTGTTCCCAATGGGTTGAGAGGGGGTTTCCTGCTGGAATTGGGATTCCAGACAACTTTGGGAAGTCACACCTTGTTCCCAACGGGTTTTTCCCATTGAAATGGGATTTGGAGAGGTTTTCCTGGCTGGAATTGGGGTTCCAGAAAACTTTTGGACATCCCACCTTCTTCCCGATGGGTTTTTCCCATTAAAATGGGGTTGAATGGGCTTTCCTGCTGGGATTGGGGGTCCCCACAACCTTCACACCGTGTTCCCAATGGCTTGTTCCTGTTGAAATGGGATTTGGAGAGGTTTTCCTGCTGGAATTGGGATTCCAGACAAACTCCTGGAATCACACCTTGTGCTTGATGGGTTTTTCCCATTGAAATGGGATTTGGGTTGGGGTTGGAGGGGGTTTCCTGCTGGAATTGGGGTTCCAGACAACTTTGGGGAATCACACATTGTTCCCGATGGGTTGTTCCTGTTGACATGGGATTTGGATGGAGTTTTCCTACTGAAATTTGGGATCCAGACAAGCTCTGGGCATCACACCGTGTTCCAAACGAGTTTTTCCTGTTGAAATGGGATTGGGTTGGGTTTGGAGTGATTTTCCTGCTGGAATTGAGGTTCCAGAAAACTTTTGGACATCACACCTTGTTCCCGATGCATTTTCCCCATTGAAATGGGATTTGGATGGAGTTTTCCTGCTGGAATTGGGTTTTTCCCATTGAGATGGGATTGGGATGGAGTTTTCCTGCTGGAATTGGGTTTTTCCCATTGAGATGGGATTGGGATGGAGTTTTCCTGCTGGAATTGAGTTTTTCCCATTGAGATGGGATTGGGATGGAGTTTTCCTGCTGGAATTGGGTTTTTCCCATTGAGATGGGATTGGGATGGAGTTTTCCTGCTGGAATTGGGTTTTTCCCATTGAGATGGGATTGGGATGGAGTTTTCCTGCTGGAATTGGGTTTTTCCCATTGAGATGGGATTGGGATGGAGTTTTCCTGCTGGAATTGGGTTTTTCCCATTGAGATGGGATTGGGATGGAGTTTTCCTGCTGGAATTGGGTTTTTCCCATTGAGATGGGATTGGGATGGAGTTTTCCTGCTGGAATTGGGTTTTTCCCATTGAGATGGGATTGGGATGGAGTTTTCCTGCTGGAATTGGGTTTTTCCCATTGAGATGGGATTGGGATGGAGTTTTCCTGCTGGAATTGGGTTTTTCCCATTGAGATGGGATTGGGATGGAGTTTTCCTGCTGGAATTGGGTTTTTCCCATTGAGATGGGATTGGGATGGAGTTTTCCTGCTGGAATTGGGTTTTTCCCATTGAGATGGGATTGGGATGGAGTTTTCCTGCTGGAATTGGGTTTTTCCCATTGAGATGGGATTGGGATGGAGTTTTCCTGCTGGAATTGGGTTTTTCCCATTGAGATGGGATTGGGATGGAGTTTTCCTGCTGGAATTGGGTTTTTCCCATTGAGATGGGATTGGGATGGATTTGGGGTTTCACGGGCTTGGCTTTCCTGCCTGGATTTCCCTGGAATTCCAGTTGGGTTTTCCGGCTCTAATTCCTGCTCCCGGTTGGGTTTTAGGGAATTAAGGGGGGAAAAGCTCCCTGTGGGAAAAATCCCAGATTGTCCGACCCCAGAATCGATCGGGAGCTTGCGTTTAACCGTGCCTAACAAAGCCTGGCTTTACCCCAGGGTTCTTTGTCCTTCCCAGCTCATCCTGATTCCCAAAAAAATCCTGTTTTTTCCCGGAATTATCCCAGCTGGAAGGGTTTGTATCCCAATCCATCACCTGGGACCCCCGACCTGCTGGGATTTCCTGGGGGTCGGGATCCTTCATCTTCTAAAAGGTCATTTTAGACTAAAACTATCCCTGGGGGGTGTTTTCCTGCTTTTTCTGCTTTTCCAGCTTCCTAAAATCCTCAGAGTTCACCCCGGACTGTTTTTGGGAAGCCAAGGCTCATGGATGATGTTATCCCTAAAACTGCCCAGTCTGGGTTTTCCCTCCTGAGGAAAAACCCTAAATTTGTTTTCCCTTAAATTAAATCAATTCCTGCCAAAATTGTCGGATTGATGGAAAAAATCCCAAATCTTGGAAGTCAAATTTAAATCTCAGCCAGGCTAGGACTGGAGTTGGACTGTGATAAACTGGATTTAATTTGGACAGGGATAACCTGGATTTGAGCTGGTTTGGGATGAACTGGATTTGAGTTGGACTGGGATAACCTGGATTTAAACTGGTTTAGGATAACCTGGATTTAATTTGGACCAGGATAAACTGGATTTAATTTGGACCAGGATAAACTGGATTTAATTTGGACCGGGATAAACCAGCTTTTCCCAGCTAAAAAGGGTCAGGAATTCCCGCTCTGCCAGCCCCAGAGGAGGCTCAGGGTGTTCCCATTTCCAAGTTTTTTGGACGGATTTACTGGATTTAATTTGGACCGGGATAAACCAGCTTTTCCCAGCTAAAAAGGGTCAGGAATTCCCGCTCTGCCAGCCCCAGAGGAGGCTCAGGGTGTTCCCATTTCCAAGTTTTTTGGACGGATTTGAGGTTTTTCTCCCCGAAAGAGCTGGAAAATGCAGGAATGCTGCTCGGGATCGCCCTCTGAGTGACTTTGGGAGCATCGACCGGGCCGGGAATGGAAACAGCCGCGCCCGGGCAGCCGAGTGTGAAAGGCAATCGCTGGAGCTCGGCTAATTAGGGAGTCGTTAATTAATTCATCAGCGTCCCTGGCAGATCCCCACCGGGATCAAAGGGGGAAACGGCTGGAAGTGGAAAGGAAATGTGGGATCAGGGATGGGGACAGGAAAATTTGGACTGGGAAATCCCTTTGGGATATGTGGGGTCACCCCGGAGTAATGGGGGGCTCCAGAATCCCAGAAAATTTGTGTTGGGAATTCTGCCAGGCTCTGGAATTTGGGGGAATTTGTGTCCAGGGATTGTGCCAGGCTCTGGAATTTGGGGAAAGTCGTGTCCGGAATTGTGCTGGGAAGTCTCTGGAATGTTCTCTTGGACCCTCTGAGCAGCAGGAATTGGAGGATGGGGATGGGATCCCAGGGAAATTTTGGGAACACGGGGAGAGGAGAGCAGGGGTGGCACCGGGCAGGGCAGGGGTGGCACAGGAGGTGCCCAAGGGTCCCCACTGATCCCACGGGGAATCCTGCTGGGATATTCCCGGGTGAAGGATTCCAGAGCAGGGAGCTCCTGGCAGGTGTGCAGAGAGCTTCTTCCCCTCCCAGATCCCATAAAATCCCAGATGCCATAAAATCCCAAATTCCACTCAAATCCCAGATCGCACTCAGATCCCGTTCCCAATCCTTCCCCAGCTCCCCCGAGCAGCTGGACCATGCTGGAGGATGAGGATGGGATGAGCGAGCGCGGCCTCGGCGGCTCCCGGAGGAGATTCGAGGATGAGGAAGGTGAGAGAAATCCTGGGAATGTCCCGGAGCAGATTTTTTGGAATTTTTTATTCCAATTATCTCTCCATCCACATCATTTTCACTAGGAATTTTTCTCCCAGAAAAATGAATTTTTTGCTGAAATTATCACTCCACGTGTAGACCATTTTCACCAGGAATTTTTCTCCCAGAAAAATCAAATTTTCACTCCATTTATCACCCTACCCACATCGTTTCCACCCTGAAACCCCATTTTTTTAACCCCTTCCTCCCTCATTCCCAGACTACCACTCCATCTACATCGGGGTGCCGGTGCCGCGCGGCTTCCGCAGGAAACGGCGCCGCCGGCGCTCGCCGGGCTCCAGCCGCGAGCGCAGCGGCAGCGAGCGCCACTTCGGGCCCCGCGAGCCCTCGGACACCGACGAGGGCCAGGGCTGGCCCGAGAGTGGCAACGACAACGCCAGCAGGACCAGTGAGTGCCCAGAGTGCCCAAAAAATCCGGGGAGGGATTCTGGAGTCGCGGTTGGATCGGCTCGGCTTCGCGGTGCGGCGACGCCGCTCCGCCCGGTTGTTGGTCCTGTTGGGACCTGATGGGGTTGGAGGGGGTTTCCTGCTGGGATTGGGGATCCCCACAGCCTTCACACCGTGTTCCCAATGGGTTGAGAGGGGGTTTCCTGCTGGAATTGGGATTCCAGACAACTTTGGGAAGTCACACCTTGTTCCCAACGGGTTTTTCCCATTGAAATGGGATTTGGAGAGGTTTTCCTGGCTGGAATTGGGGTTCCAGAAAACTTTTGGACATCCCACCTTCTTCCCGATGGGTTTTTCCCATTAAAATGGGGTTGAATGGGCTTTCCTGCTGGGATTGGGGGTCCCCACAACCTTCACACCGTGTTCCCAATGGCTTGTTCCTGTTGAAATGGGATTTGGAGAGGTTTTCCTGCTGGAATTGGGATTCCAGACAAACTCCTGGAATCACACCTTGTGCTTGATGGGTTTTTCCCATTGAAATGGGATTTGGGTTGGGGTTGGAGGGGGTTTCCTGCTGGAATTGGGGTTCCAGACAACTTTGGGGAATCACACATTGTTCTCGATGGGTTGTTCCTGTTGACATGGGATTTGGATGGAGTTTTCCTACTGAAATTTGGGATCCAGACAAGCTCTGGGCATCACACCGTGTTCCAAACGAGTTTTTCCTGTTGAAATGGGATTGGGTTGGGTTTGGAGTGATTTTCCTGCTGGAATTGAGGTTCCAGAAAACTTTTGGACATCACACCTTGTTCCCGATGCATTTTCCCCATTTGGGAAATGGGATTTGGATGGAGTTTTCCTGCTGGAATTGGGTTTTTCCCATTGAGATGGGATTGGGATGGAGTTTTCCTGCTGGAATTGGGTTTTTCCCATTGAGATGGGATTGGGATGGAGTTTCCCCACTGGGATTGGGCTCCAGACAACTTTGGGGAATCACGCCGTGTTCCCGCCGGGTTTTGCCGCTCCTTACGGGGGAAATCTCCTTAGGGGAGATTAACATTTCACAGGGGAGCGCAGCCACCGAGCCCTTCCATGGGCTGGGATTTTTCCACCCCCCTGCTGGAAATTTGCATTCGGGTTCAGGCCCAGCTGAAGTTTTCTGTGGTTTGTTTGCACGGGAAGAGGATTTTTATTCGCTGGCAGCTCCTTTGTGCCCTCGGCGGAGGCGGGAGCGGGGGCATGTCCCCTCCTTCCTTCCTTTTCCCTCCTTTCCCCTCCTTTTCCCCGATTTCCCCCTCATTTTCCCTTTATTTCCTTCTTTCCCCCTCCTCTTCCTTCTTTCACCTTCCTTTTCCTTTTTTCCCCCTCCTTTTCCTTTATTCTCCCCTCTTTTTCCCTCTTTCCCCTCTTTTCCCCTATTTCCCCTCTTTCCCCTTTTTTCCCCCTTTTCCCTCCTCCCCACAACCACCAAATTCCGCTCAGAGATAACTCCAGCCCACTTTGGTGGCTTGGACAAAAAACCCTCATTTTACAGAGAAAAAAAAAAAAAAACCCAAACCCCCTCAACCCCACCAAAATCTCCCTCCTTCCTGTCCTTTTTCCCCCCTAAAAACCAAACCCTCAATTTTGGGGTTCCTGCCGCGGCCAGGGCAGGAAAACCCCGCGGGGAGCGGCCCCGGATCGCGGATTTCTGGCGCTTCCCGCCGCTTTCCCGAGCGCATCCCGGCGCTTTGGCCACTTCCCGTCATGGGAGCCGAGCAGGGAAGGATTTGCTCGCCGTAATCTGCTCCCTAAGCCGCGGAGTTTAGCGAGCTGCAGTGGATAAAGGAGAAGGGAGAAAGGGGAAAGGAACTCCGGCCCTTGGCGGCGTTTTGGGATCGCGCGGCGAAGCTTTGGGGTTAAATGGGGGAAGAAATGGAAACCACTCCAGGTAGGGCTTGGGATGTTTTATTGCCCAGAGCTGTGGTGGGAGGGGGAAAAGATCCTTGGGGTTTTTTTTCTGGTTTTTCCCTCGGAAAAGCAACTTAGGGGATTCTAAAAGTGCAGAGACCCAAAGCTCATCCCAAAAATCAACGAGGGAGTTCCTGCTGCTCCTCGGTGGAAAAGTTGGGTTTTGGAAGGGTCAGAAATACCCCAGATCTGGGGATTTGGAGCAAATTCATCCCATGGGATGTGCATCCTGCTCTCCTGGTTTTGGGGCAGCTGGGGCTCATCTGAGGCAGGAAAATGCAGGGAAAAGCTGTGGAGAACCCACAGGAAAATGCAGGGAAAAGCTGTGGAGAACCCACGGGAAAATCCAGGGAAAAGCTGTGGAGAACCCACGGGAAAATGCAGGGAAAAGCTGCGGAGAACCCAGGGGAAAATGCAGGGAAAAGCTGTGGAGAACCCATGGCAGCCCCTGCATAAGGCTGGACCTAAACCCAGGTTTAGTCCTGGCTGGATTGCAGAGCCCCAGCAGGGCTACCTTCCCTAATTTCCCAGTTTTATCCCAATTTAGTGGGAATTTCCATTTGGAAAAGGATCTCCAGGTGAGGTTTTGTTGTGGGGTCAGGGTTTGGATGTGAGGAAGCAGCTACATGTTGGATAATTGGGATTTAAATAATTCCTGTCCTGTTTCCCGTGGAAATGATCCTAAATATTCCCTGGGAATCCGCAGTGGCTGAAATCCTGGAGTTTTCCCATCCTAAAACCTGGCTCAGGGAGATCTGGATCCCCCCAAGGAGCTGATTTTGGGGTGTTTTATGGGATTTGTGTCACTTTCCCCTTCTCCAACCAACACCTGCTGCCTCCTGGGGTTTTCAGTGCTGGGTGCAATTCCCAGGAATGAAAAACCCCAAAGCAGGAGGAGCTGGGAGCTCTCCCAGCCGTGGAATTGTTCTCCAGGTGAGCAAATCCCAGGAATTCTGGCCACCTCGGGGAGGGCGGGAAGAAAAACTGGGAGCTGCAAGTTGGATTTATTCCCTAAAATCTGGCAGGATAAGGAAAAGAAGACAAAAAAGCTCTTTTTGTAAGAGATTTATTTCAGTTTTTTGGGGTTTCAGGGGTGAAAAACCCTGAGACCCCAAAATGAGGCCCTGGGGGAAGGTGAGGAAGGAAGGATCCGTTTTTAGAGGGGGAATTTGGGCAGAGCTGGGAGCAGCAACCCCAAAATCGAGGGCAGGAATTCCAAATCCCATTTTCCCACCAGAGATCCCACCCAGGACTGGGATTTCCCACAAAATCCCGATTTTTTTGTGGTTTAGCTCATTAAATTTGGGGTTTTTTTGGGAATTTTAAGCTTGGCAGGGGGGGTTGACCAGAATTTCACCCGTCTCATCCCTTTTCCGAGAAAAACCCCAGGCTTAGGGAGCCTGAAACCCTCCAGGCACGGAGCCCAGCCCCAGAATTCCCGGGAATATTCACAATCACAAGAAGGGATTTATGGGAATGGTGGCAGGGCTGGACCTTGGCAGCCTTTGGGCTTGGCTTAGAGGGGCTTAAGTGGTTTAAGCAGGCTCAGCCTAAAGGGACATCCTCTTCTTTTGGGGCCTGGGCTCCTCTGCTTTGTGCAGGAAAAGTGCAAAATTCTCATTTTCCCTCATTTATCCGCAGCAATTTAATTCCCTGATTTTTTTAAGTGCTGCATTACCCAACTATGTTACTCCCAGCTTGGAGAAAAGGAGGATTTTGCCCCAAAATTCCCATTTTCCAAGCCTGGATCATTCCTGCTGAATCAGGAAATACAGAATTCATTCCAAACACCCCATTTCCGTGGATTTCAGGGCTTGGATTTCTCTCCAAATCCACCAAAACTGGGAAGTTTTGCTGGAAAAACCCTCGAGAATGGAGAGGGTTAAGAACAAATCCAACTTTTTTTTTTTTTTTCCTGGGATTTCTTCACCCTCCCATGGGCACTGGGAATGTGCTGGGATGGAAAAGCCTTGGAGGGCACCGTGATCCCAAAACCATTCCCAGATTTCTCCCCAGGCCATAAATGCTGCCCCTTCCCAGGAAAAGATGGAATTTTCCCCACAGGAATGATGGATTTGTGTCATTCCCTGTTAGGAAAAAGGGGAAATCCCAAGGTTGGAAGGGTTGGGGTGGGATGGAGCCTGGAAGAATGGGGTCTGTGGGAGGGGAAATTTGGGATAAAGCTGGGAACTGGGCACAGGGAACTCCTGGAAAGGGAATTTGCTGGGAATTGGTTCCTGGAGCTTCATCCTGCTCCTCCTTTCCCCAGCATTCCCCAGGGAATTCGGGATGGGATCACTCAGGGATTCCCCCATTCCCTTCAACATTTCCCTCAATTTTTATCCCTTTTTTGCCATCCCAAACCCCCTTTGGGGCCGTTCCCTGTGGGATGGAGCAGGATTTTCCAGGAATTCTTGCTCCTTTTCCCCACAGGGAATTTGGGATGGAGATCCCCCATTCCCTTCAACATTTCCCTCCGTTTTTATCCCTTTTTTTGCCATCCCAAACCCCCTTTGGTGCCATTCCCTGCAGGACCATCCCGTTTTCCCCTGGAATTCCAGCACAGGGAATTCAGGATGGGATCACTCAGGGGTCCCCCATTCCCTTCAACATTTCCTTCCATTTTCATCCCTTTTTTTGCCATCCCAAACCCCCTTCGGGGCCGTTCCCTGCGGGACCATCCCGTTTCCCCTGGAATTCCAGCGGTTTTTTCCCGGCAGTGTCCCCGGCCGCGGAACGGCTGCGGTACATCCTGGGGGAGGAGGACGAGCCCCCCAACCCCACGCTGTTCACGGAGATGGACACGCTGCAGCGCGACGGCGACGAGATGGAGTGGAAGGAATCCGCCAGGTCAGCCGGGATCCGGGAATGGGGCCGGAAAAAATCCCATCCCAAAACGTCCCCGTGGGGCAGCGGGGTCGGGGAATGAGCGTGGGATTTGGGGAGGCTGGAAAAGGGCGTTCCTGAATTGGGGGAATGCTGGGAAAAATGGGATTTTGGGAGGGTTTGAAAATGGAATATCAGGGAATGAGCATCGGGGGAAAAAAGGATATTCCTGAATTGGGGAAATGCTGGAAAATGGGATTTGGAAAATGGAATATCAGGGAATGAGCATCAGATTTAGTGCGGTTGTGAAAGGATATTCCTGAATTGGGGGAATGCTGGAAAAATGGGATTTTGGGAGGGTTTGAAAATGGAATATCAGGGAATGGGCACTGTTTATAACAGTATTAAAAAAGGACATTCCCGAATCTGGGAAGTGCTGGAAAAGGGGATTTTGGGAGCGTTTGAAGGATTTGGGAGGATTTCCATCAGGGAGGGCTGGAAGTGGAGATTCCCAAATTTCTCCTGATTTTCCAAGGTTGGGACTCTTTATCCTCAGGGCAGCAGCTCCGTGGTGAGAGCACCTAAATCCACAATAAATGGAGAAAAAAAGGGATTTTTTTCTAGGATCACAGAGGTTTTCCAAGTCCCATTTCCTGCTCTCCAGCCAGGCTGGGACTCTTTATCCTCAGGGCACCTAAATCCACAATAAATGGGGAAAAAATGGGAATTCAGGATGTTGGGAGCAGGAGGAATTGGGTGGAACCTCGGTGAAGGAATCCCGGGACGCCGACGGCGGCGCAAAGGCGCTGTTGGAGCAGTGCCCCAATCCCACAGGGATTCGTGCCCCCAATCCCACAGGGATTCGTGCCCCCAATCCCACACTCCATCCCGAGCTCCCTAATGACCCAAATTCCTGGGAAAAGGGGCAGAAGGGAGAGGAAAAGCGACTTAATCGGCTTTGGGGGAGCGGCGCTCGGCGGGAACCTTGAATTCCGTCCCTGGGAAAGAGGAAGGGCTGGAGAAGGGGATTCTCCAGAGGAATCAGGGATGGGAGGTGTGGGGTGGGCACCAGGCCAGGTGTTGTGGTTTGGGGTTCTCTCAGGGCGTTCCTGGATGATCTTTGGGGTTTTTTAGTGGGGACACCTGAGGTTTGCTCTGTGCAGCTGTTGAGGCCATCCTGGCCCTTCCCTGTCCTTCCCCCTCGGAATTCCGGAGCCATTGGCTGTTCCCAGAATCCCTTCTCCTGGCTGTTCTCAGAATCCCTTCTCCTGGCTGTTCTCAGAATCCCTTCTCCTGGCTGTTCCCAAAATCCTTCTCCTGGCTGTTCCCAAAATCCCTTCTCCTGAGTGTTCCCAAAATCCTTCTCTTGGATGTTCCCAAAATCCCTTCCCCTCCTCTGTCCTTCCCACCGGTGGTGCCCGCTCGGATGGGTCAGAACTCCAAGAAGGAAAATCCATGGAAGAAAAGCAGCCTTTGTCCCAAAAAACCAAGAGCTGTCCTTCCAGAAGCCCGAGCCCCACTCCCAGGAATTTGGGAGGAATCACCCACCCCTTTCCAGAAGTTTCTCTGGAGTCTTCACTGTAGAAGGAAGGAAGGGAAGGGAAGGAAAGGGAAGGGCTGAATTCCAAGGGTTTGGAAATCCTCCCACGGTGGGGATGGAGTGCCCAGGGTGGGATCTGAGCATTCCTGAGGAACTGGGACATTGGGAATGCTCTGGGATATTGGGAATGCTCTGGCTGCTCCAGGCAGGAGCAGATCCAGGCTCAGGCCAGGTCATCTCCATGGGAAAAGATCCCAAACCTCTAAGGAGCAATTTGAGGATGGGGAAATCCATGGATTTGGGTTTCCTGATGGGACTGGGAGCTTTCCTGCTCCTCCACAACCCTGCAAGCAGCACTTTTGGGAACGACTCCACCAGCTCCTCCTTTCCCAGCCTGGATAATGAGTGAGAACTCCATGAGATTAATTAATCCAGGCCTTCCAGGAAGGAAAAGCCATTCCCAGATCCTCACACCCGCCCCGTCCCGCTCCTGTTCCAGGTGGATCAAGTTTGAGGAGAAGGTGGAGGAAGGCGGCGAGAGGTGGAGCAAACCCCACGTGTCCACCCTGTCCCTGCACAGCCTCTTTGAGCTGCGGACGTGTCTCCAGACGGGAACGGTGCTCCTGGACCTGGACGGATACTCCTTGCCCCAAATTATTGGTAGGAACCCCTGGAGGTTTTCCCCCCGTGTCCTAAAATTGTGGGATGGATTTAAACTCTTTCTTTTTTTCCTGAATTTGTCCAGGAATGAGCAAAGGGAGGAGTTGGGAGCCATCAGATGCTTCCAGAAATGGTTGTGTTGAGGTTCTTGGGGGATCCGGGGGTCACTGCTGAAGCAGCAGATTTTAGGGAGGTTTTGGGAATCATTCCTGGGTCACAGTGGCTGGGTGTTGCAGATGATGTCATCGAGGAGCAGATTGAGGACATTTTGGGCAGGTTTTGGGGGTCACCATCACCAGATGTTGCAGATAAGGTCTTTGAGGGGCAGATCAAGGATGGGACATTTTGGGGAGGTTTTGGGCGTCACCATGGCCGTGTGTTGCAGATGATGTCATTGAGGAGCAGACCGAGGACAGGACATTTTGGGGACAGTTTGGGGAGGTTTTTGGGGTCACCATGGCCATGTGCTGCAGATCGAGGACAGGACATTTTGGGGAGGTTTTGGGGGTCACCATGGCCGTGTGCTGCAGACCGAGGACAGGACATTTTGGGGACAGTTTGGGGAGGTTTTGGGGTCACCATGGCCATGTGCTGCAGACCGAGGACAGGACATTTTGGGGAGGTTTTGGGGGTCACCATGGCCGTGTGCTGCAGACCGAGGACAGGACATTTTGGGGACAGTTTGGGGAGGTTTTGGGGGTCACCATGGCCGTGTGCTGCAGACTGAGGACAGGACATTTTGGGGACAGTTTGGGGAGGTTTTGGGCATCACCATGGCCGTGTGCTACAGATCGAGGACAGGACATTTTGGGGACAGTTTGGGGAGGTTTTGGGGGTCACCATGGCCGTGTGCTGCAGACCGAGGACAGGACATTTTGGGGACAGTTTGGGGAGGTTTTGGGGGTCACCATGGCCATGTGCTGCAGACGATGTCATCGAGAAGCAGATCGAGGACGGGCTGCTGAAGCCGGAGCTGCGGGAGAAGCTCAGCTACGTCCTCCTGCGCAAGCACCGCCACCAGACCAAGAAGCCGATCCACCGCTCCCTGGCCGACATCGGCAAGTCCGTGTCCTCCAACACCGGTGAGCCGCGGGGCCAGGGGCGCCTCGGGACCAGGGAGGCAGGACCCAAGGGCTTGGGACACCCACCCAGGGATTGTGGTGGGGAAGGACCCCAGAATTCCAGCCCGGTGGGTTTAGGGGTGGGGGGTCAGCGGGAGGTGGGGGACAAGGAGGTGTTAGGGACAGGGACAGCGTTGTGTGGGGGATGTGGCTGTGGCAGGGACAATGCCACCGTTTGGTGACGTCATTGAGTGATGACATCGTTGTGTGATGACATCATTGTGTGAGAGAGAATGTCATTGTGTGATTACATCACCGTGTGATGACATCACCATGTGAGGACAATGGCTCTGTGTGAGGACATTATGTGGTGACATCATTGTGCGGTGACATCACCACATGATGACAATGCCATTATGTTATGACATCACCATGTGAGGACAATGGCACTCTGATGACATCATTGTGTGATGACAGTAGCACTGTGTGATGATGTCACAGTGGGGACAATGGCACCATGTAATGACATCACTATGGGGACAATGTCACTGTATGATGACATCACAGTGGGGACAGTGACTGTATGATGACATCACAATGGGGACAATGGCACTGTGTGATGACATCACAGTGGGGACAATGACTGTGTAATGATGTCACTGGGGATAATGACTGTGTGATGATGTCACTGTGGGGACAGTGGCACCACGTGATGATGACGTCATCGCGTGCTGACGACGTCACCGCGCGAGGACAATGGCGCAGTGTGGGCTCCGGGCGCGGTGCCGCTTTCCCGGCGTGGCGGCCGCAGACAAATCCGGTCTGGCCGCGGCTGATCCGCCGCTCCCGGCCCTTACAAAAGGGGATTTGGGGCTGCTCCCGGCTGCTCCCGCGGGTTTAGCGGGAGGTCACGGCTGTAGCCGGGGCTGGCCGGGATTGATCTGCGGCAGCTGCTGGGAGCATCCCGGCATTCCCAACGGGATCCTGCCCGGCATTCCCATCGGGATCCTGCTGTGACATTCCCAACGGGATCCTGGGAGCATTCCCAACGGGATCCTGCCCGGCATTCCCAATGGAATCCTGGGAGCATTCCCAATGGGACCCTGCTCGGCATTCCCAATGGGACCCTGCTCGGCATTCCCAACGGGATCCTGCTCGGCATTCCCAACGGGATCCTGGGAGCATTCCCAACGGGATCCTGCCTGGCATTCCCAACGGGATCCTGCCCGGCATTCCCAATGGGATCCTGCCCCGACATTCCCAACGGGATCCTGCCCCGACATTCCCAATGGGATCCTGCTCCCACATTTCCAACAGGATCCTGCCCCGACATTCCCAACGGGATCCTGCCCCGACATTCCCAATGGGATCCTGCTCCCACATTTCCAACAGGATCCTGCCCCGGCATTCCCAACGGGATCCTGCCCCGGCATTCCCAACAGGATCCTGCCCCGGCATTCCCAATGGGATCCTGCTGTGACATTCCCAACGGGATGCTGCCCCAGCATTCCCCATGGATCCAGCCCCGACATTCCCAACGGGATCCTGTCCCCACATTCCCAGCGGGATCCCCCTGCCCGCCTCACCCCCTCTCCTCTCTCCCCAGCCCGCAGCCCCGTGCGGGGCCCGGCCGCCGGCGCCGCCTTCCACCGCTCCACCGAGGACCTGCGGCTGCGGCAGAGCGCCAGCTACGGCCGCCTGCGTGAGTGGGTGATTCCCTGCAACACCAAATCATTCCCCGGGACACCAAATGATTCCCTGGAACACCAAATTCCCAGCCCCAGGGGCAGAGTGGGAGGTTGAAATGAGGTCCCACCATCCCAGAAGTGCAGCAGGGAATTCGGGATGAGCAAGGGTGCTGGTGTGGGGTGGAGGAAAACATTCCTTGGAATCTTTAGGGAGGGAAGGAACGGCGCTTGGAAGAGAGAGGGAATCCTAAAAGATTGCTTGGCTGGGAGAGGGCAGCTGGGAAATCCCAAACGAGCCCTGGTTTGTGTGGCTGAGGCTGGAAATGATCCCATTTATGGAGTTTTGGGATCATTAGGGTTGGAAAGGCCCTCTGAGATCATGGAGCACCACAGTGTCCCCAGGTGCCACATCCAGACAGTTTCTGGACCCTTCCAGGGCTGGGGACTCCATCACTGCCCCGTGCCAGCCTTTCCACCCTTTCACAGGAGGAATTTCCCCAATTCCTGGGTTTTCACAGCGCAGCTGCTGCTTGGCAAGCCCAGACACCATCACCAATGTTTTATTTCTTTGCACAAATCCTCCCCATCAGGTTTTCTCCTGGCACCTGGGGTGGCTTTTCCTCACAATTCCCTCCCTCCCCTCCAGGTCACGCCCAGAGCCGGAGCATGAACGACATCTCGGACACGCCAAGCACTGACCAGGTACCCAAAATCCCCAAATCCCCAAACCCCACCACGATCCCTGCTGGGCTCTGGGGCTGTCGGGTCCATGTGAGCTGTGGCTGGGTCGATACCCGCACAAATTCCTAATTAGGGCAGTTAATTGCTGTATTGATCCCTGCGGGGAAGCTGCCCCAGAGGTGACACCTGAGCTCTCAGCGCGGAATTTGGGACGAGCCAGGAGCCCAAATCCATCAGGGTGGGGCAAAAATTCCCTCCAGATCTGTTGGGAGCTGCTTGGAAGTGCAGGAATCCTAAAGGATCCTAAAGGGAGAGGGTGGAAAATCCCATCTGAGCTCTTGGGATTCAGCTCTGGGGGTGAGGGGCTGGAATTTGGGGTGGGACCTGGTTTTTCTGAGGGTTTCCCAATGCAAAGCTCAACCCAGAGGCCGTGGGGGCTTTTCCTTCTGGGATTGCTTTTAGGAGGAGCTGGGAAGCAGCTCCCAGTTTGGGGATGGGATGGATCAGTGGGATTTTGTCCTGTTCCCATTCCAGACTCCTTTTCTGGGAATGGTTGGTTCCTTTTATGAGCTTTGCTTTCTTTCTGTTCCTGATTTCACCATAAACCAAAGGCAGGATGGGTTTTTAGGGAATGGGATGGGATAGCAACTTGCTTTGGGTTTTTAGAGAATGGGATGGGAGAACAGCTTGCTTTGGGTTTTTAGGGATGGGATGGGATTGTAACTTGCTTTTCCCCTGGGATGTCCTCCCTGGGCTTACCTGGGGTGATGCACTTTAGGGCAAATCCAAACACAATAAATAATGTTTTATTTCCTTGGATTTCACGGATGGAAATCCATGATCTGCAGGGAGCCACAGGACAGGGACACCACGAAGGTTTCCAGGCCACCTCCCCAAATGACTCCATCCTGGTGCCCAGTCAGGAACCCCAAATATCCCCTCCAGCAATGGGGTTCGGAGGGTTAATCCCAAAATATGCAAAGCATTTAGGTTTAATCGCCCTATTAGGCCCACTACAAAGGGACTTTTTAAGTGTTACATGAAGCTTAGTGGCCACTGGTAACTCCTGCTCTTATTCCGAGCAGAACTGGGGGAGTTGCTTTATTATTGTTATGATTTCTTTTTTTTTTTTTTTTTTTTTTTTTTTTTTTTTTTTTTTTTCTTTTTCCATTTGGATTTAGAAGATTAGGACGGGGCGAGGCGGCTGCCCAGCTCACATGCCTCCCCTCATGCTGCCATATAGATTATCATAACTCCCTGCCAGGCTGGCTATTGAACCCTTTGAGGCTGTAATGAAAAGAGCTGCAGGGGAGAAGAGACCTGGGGAATAAATCCATGGATGAGGTTTTCCTCCTCCCATTATTTGTTCCAGCTCCGGGAACGGGGCTGGGGAGGAACGAGGCACAAAAACCTCCCCCATGCAGGGCTTGAGGGGGGTTCTGTGCCATGAGGGGCTGCAAATAAACTCCAAAAATGTTCCTGGCTTGCTGCAGCACCCCTGGGGTTGGCTCATGTTTTCCACAGGGGATTTCAGGGAGTTTTCCTTGTGGGGAGCCCAGGAGAGCAAAACCAAACGTTGCTGGTTGGGTTGTGGAGCCCTGGGGGTGCAGTTTAGTCTCGGTTTTAGCCACGTTTCTGAAGAAATGTGGCTTTTTGTTCCTGGCTGATTCCCAGCTGTGGCTCCTCAGTCCCCACCTCTGCGAGTCCTGGGACACCCAGAGGTGAAATCTTGCAGCCTGAGGCTTCAACTTTGGTGGGGAAAAAATAGGGAGAAAAGCCAAATTTTGGCAACCACTCCCTTCCTCCATCTTGTCTTTGCCAACAGCTGAAGAACAAGTTCATCAAGAAGATCCCCAAGGATGCCGAGGCCTCCAACGTGCTGGTGGGGGAGGTGGAGTTCCTGGAGAAGCCCTTCGTGGCCTTCGTGCGGCTGCTCCAGGCCACCATGCTGGGGGGCGTGACCGAGGTGCCCGTCCCCACCAGGTGAGCGCCATCCCCTGGGCACATCCCGAGGGCTCTGGTGGCACCACAGCTCCGAGGTGGCCGACACGGCTCCTTTCCCTCCCCAGATTCCTCTTCATTCTCCTCGGCCCGCCGGGAAAAGCCAAGTCCTACAACGAGATCGGCAGGGCCATCGCCACTCTCATGGTGGACGATGTGAGTGGAGGCCACCCCAGCCCTCCTGTGGGACACCCCGACTCAAAACCCAGCAAAAAAAGCAATTTCCACCTTATCACCCCAAAAATTGAGATTGAAACCCCCAGGAGGACGTGGGGCTGGAGCTGACCCCTGTCCTGTGTCCACCCCCAGCTCTTCAGCGACGTTGCCTACAAAGCCCGGGACAGGGAGGACCTGATCGCCGGCATCGACGAGTTCCTGGACGAGGTCATCGTCCTCCCGCCCGGCGAGTGGGACCCCAACATTCGGATTGAGCCTCCCAAAAAAGTGCCCTCAGCTGAGAAGAGGTGGGTGGGGCTGCACCAGCCCTGTGTCCGGTTCTGGGGGGGTAAGAGCCTTGCTTGGCTTCATCCCTGGAAGTAACCCCTCCAGATGTTCCAGAAATGCTGGGTTTGCAGCAGGGTTTGATCCCAGCTCGGCTCAGAGGCGTTTCCACTCTCCTGGGACAGCTTTTACTGGGAGGTGACCCAGGAGTTGAACTGGATGATCCTTGAGTCCGTCCCAAACCAACCCAACCCAACCCAATCCAACCCATGGCTCCACAAATTGACCATACCCAGCTCTGGATCTGGCCAAACTTGCCCCAAAACCAAGCTCAGTGCAGGCTCAGAGCTGCACCACGGCCTTGGCCATGGTCCTCACGCCGGCGGTGCCCATTCAATGGTGCCAGACCGAGTCCGAGTGGTGCCAATCTGGCGGAGCCAATCCAGCAGTGGTGGTGGTGCTGAGCCAGTGGTGCCGATCCATCAGTGCCAGTCTGGCAGAGCCAATCCAGCGGTGCCCATCCAGTGGTGCCAATCTGGCAGTGCCGATGTGGCGGTGTCGATCCGGTGGCACCAATGGGGCAGTGCCGATCTGGCGGTGCCCATCCAGCGGTACCGATCTGGCGGTGCCCATCCGGCGGTGCCCATCCGGTGGTGCCCATCCAGCGGTGCCGGAGCGGGTGCGAGGCGGTGCCGGTGTCCCGCAGGAAGTCGGTGTTCTCGCTGAACGAGGTGGGGCAGATGAACGGCGCGGCCGGTGGGGCGGGCGCCGGGGGCGGCGGTGGCGCCAGCGACGATGGAGAGATGCCTGAAGTCCACGAGATTGGGGAGGAGCTGGCCTGGACTGGCAGGTGAGCCAGGAGCCACCCCCAAAACCCTCCAGAATGTACCAGGATCCATCAGCGTCTCCCGTGGGCTCATCCTGGGGTGTCCTGGGGCACCGAGGGCGGAAATCCTGGTGGGGAGGGGTTTTTGTCAGCACCAGGCCTATTTATGTGTCTGTACATAAATTGTATTTAGGTATCAATGTTTGTAAATCTCCCAACTGGCCAGAGCAGCTGTGGATCCCCAGAAGTGTCCAAGGCCAGGCTGGACGGGGCTTGGAGCAGCCTGGGACAGTGGGAGGTGTCCCTGGGTGGGACTGGGGGTGTTAGGGCACCTCCCAACCCAAACCATTCCAGGATTTTGGGATGCTTGAGCCTCTCTGCTCTGGAGCCATTCTGGGAATGTTCACTTGGAGAAGGGACGGCTCCAGGGAGAGCTTCCAGCACATTCCAGGGCCTGCAGGGGCTCCAGGAGAGCTGGAGAGAGACTGTGAACAAGGGATGGAGGGACAGGACACAGGGAATGGCTTTCTATAGCCAGAGGGCAGGGATGGATGGGATATTGGGCAGGAATTCCTCCCTGGGAGGGTGGGGAGGAGCTGGGCTGGAATTCCCAGAGGAGCTGAGGCTGCTCCATCCTGGGAAGTGTCCCAGGCCAGGCTGGAGCACCCTGGGACAGTGGAAGGTGTCCCTGCCATGGCAGGGGTTGGATGGGATGGAATTTAAGGTCCCTCCCAACGCAAACCTCTCGAGGACTCCACGATTCTGTTTTGGTGGCAGTCACCAGGTGTCGGTGTCACCTCGGCGGTGTCTCTGCAGGTTTTGTGGTGGCCTCTACCTGGATATCAAGAGGAAACTGCCCTGGTTCCCGAGTGATTTCTACGAAGGTTTCCATATCCAGTCCATCTCCGCCATCCTCTTCATCTACCTGGGCTGCATCACCAACGCCATCACCTTCGGGGGGCTGCTGGGGGACGCCACCGACAACTACCAGGTGTGGCCCAGGTGTCACCAGCTTGGGGACAGGCAGGGATGGGATCCGTGGGATGGGATCCATGGGATGGGGTGGGATGGGATGGGATGGATTTTACCCTACTTGTGCCATGCCAAGCTTCTGGGGATGGACATTCTCTGCCAGGTGGGACTGGCAGCCCTGGAACACTGGAATCCCTCCATGGCAATGCCAGGAGCAATGGGACACGGTCCCAACCGTCCCTCAGCCCCATCTCCATCAGGGGGTCTGTGGGGACGTGGTGTGACCCAACACCCCTGTAATGCCACCTCTGCTCTGTCCCCAGGGGGTCATGGAGAGCTTCCTGGGCACGGCCATGGCCGGCTCCATGTTCTGCCTCTTCGCCGGGCAGCCCCTCATCATCCTCAGCAGCACCGGCCCCATCCTCATCTTCGAGAAGCTGCTCTTCGACTTCAGCAAGTGAGTGCTGGGCCACCCCAGGGGACACCAGGGCCTGTCCCCGTGGGGGTGGGACGTGTCCCCAGCAGCCAGCTGATCTCACAGGGCTGCATGTCCCCTCTTCCAGAGGCAACGGGATCGACTACATGGAATTCCGCCTGTGGATCGGGCTGCACTCAGCCCTGCAGTGCCTTATCCTGGTGGCCACCGACGCCAGCTTCATCATAAAGTACATCACGCGCTTCACCGAGGAGGGCTTCTCCACCCTCATCAGCTTCATCTTCATCTACGACGCCATCAAGAAGATGATCGGGGCCTTCAAGTACTACCCCATCAACTCCGACTTCAAGCCCGACTACGTGACCATGTACAAGTGCGAGTGCGTCGCCCCCGACCCAGGTGAGTTCACCCCGGGGCCGCCCGGGCAGGAGCCGGGGGTGGGAGGGTCCTGGCGTGGATGAATCCTGGCCCAGGACGTGGGAGGAGGCAGCTGCAGAGACCTGGAACTCATCGTCCTCCTCCGAGGGGGTTGTGGAGATGGAGGAAGAGCCTTGTCCCCCTTGGATGAACTTCCCGGGACACAGCGGATGGAGAGTCAGGATCTCAGCCAGACCTGGATGGATAAGGAGGAATTATGGAAGAGCAAAAAAGACATTTTGGGTCATTCCAGCCTGCTGCCGATGGAAACTGAATCTCCAGGAAACACCTGGAGTGGTTCTGTGCTCTGCAGTGTCTGGGACACCCCGGGATGTCCCAGCTGGGTGTGGAAACCTCCATGGACCGTTTCCCTTCTTTTTCCACTCCTTTTCCAAAAGGAGAGGCCATGTGGCTCTGAGCAGAAGGTCCTTCCGTGGTTTTGCCCTTGGGCAGATGTCCTGCATGATCCCAGATCTGAACTGTGGAGCTCGGACGCTCCTGGAAGGGAGCAGAGACGGCTTCGGGCTCACGGCAGCGAGCGCCTGCTCTCCCAGGAGCTGAATTTATGCCAAAAATCCAAATTTTGGGGAGCACCAGCTGCAGCCACAGGAGACTGACAGTGGGTGGAGGTGAAGGTGGATGAAGGTGATGGTGGATGAAGGTCATGGTGGAAGAAGATGATGGTGGATGAAGGTGACGGTGGATGAAGGACACAGTGGATGAAGATGGTGGATGAAGATGATGATGGACGAAGGTGATGGTGGATGAAGGTCACAGTGCATGAAGATGATGGTTGATGAAGGTGATGGTGAAGTTCTGCCCATCTCCTTCCTTCAGGAGAAGCACCCAGGACCCTCCACCCAAGGCATTCCCAACGCATCTGCCACTCCAAGGAGAGCTCTCACCCCACGGCTATCACAGCCGTCGCGTTGAATTTTGCATTTTTCCTCAATTCCTGCTCATCCACCCCTCCGTGAGCACCTAGACCCCAGAGCAGCACCAGAACCAAATCCTGCCCCAAACCCGACCCGCAGAGAGCGAAGCCGGACCCCCCAGAGCCGGAATTCCCGGACGGAGCCGTGAGCACCCCCGGGAGGAGCTGCAGCCTCCAGGGAGGTCTCCCCCTTCTCCAAGCCCCCACCCCGAGCAGCCCAGAGGCTTCCACACCCCAATCCCCGCTCCCACTCCTCGCCCTGGCTGCCCGAGGCAGCCGTGTCCAGGCTGGATTTAAAATCCCTCTAGAAATTATGTTTATTTCTCCCTCCATCCTTAATTTATTTTTTTTTAATTCCCCTTTTTTTCCATCCCTGCTGATTTTTGATTATTATAACTGATTTGTCCCATATTTGTCTCTGCTGCACACATCAATTGGGGCTGATTTCAATCTCAAGTGAGTATCGCCTTCTAAATATTAAAACTATTTTAATATTTGATACTCTCCCCCCACGGGGGGGTTCCCTTGTTATTTTTTTTTCCCATGCATTTGACTTTTCTCTCTCTCCAAAAAGGTTTGTGTCGAGCCCTTAGGGCTCCTCTCTTTAACCCCACCGGTGCCGTGCCGCCCTTTAAAGGCGTAGAAACCCCAAAATAGGGTTTGTGGAAAAAGAAAAGGTTGTGGAGGAGAGAAATGAGAACAAAGCCGATGTTTGTAGGGCTGGGCTCTCTGTCCTAACCCAGCCTCTCCTTTGTTAATCCCCGGCGCCGGGGCTGGAGGCGGCGGCTGAAATTCCCACTTGGCGAAGAGGATGGAAGAGGGGGGCGGCAAAGCCGTCCTGGAATTCCCCAATTCCCGAATTCCCTCTTTTAGGGGCACCCCGAGAGATCCCGGGGGTGCTCCCGGAGCTGCGGAGCTGCGTCGCCTGAAGAGCCGAGGAGGAGAAGGTGCCGGGGCCCGAAAAGATGGAATTTTGCACCGATGACACCAAAACACCCCCAAACAATTAAAAAAAAAATAGAATAATAACTTTAAAAAGGCAAATTGGGTGCGATTTGGGGTGATTTGGGTGCCACCTCTCTAAAAAAAATATAAAAACCACCCCCAGCGTGCTTTTCCCAGCCTTCCACCCCGGTGGTTTTAAGTCCACCCCACTCCCGGCGGCTTTCCTGGGAAGCTCCTGGAAATTTTAGGATCTGGGAAGCTCCTGGAAATTTTAGGAACTGGGAAGCTCCTGGAAATTTTAGGAACTGGGAAGCTCCTGGAAATTTTAGGATCTGGGAAGCTCCTACAAAATCCCCTGTGGCCCAGCCCTCGCCAGCCCCGCAGGGAGAAGCCGCCGCGGGAGCCGCCGCGTCCTCCCCGGCGCGTGGGATTAATCAGGGAGAAGTTAGAAAAGGGGGATTTCCCCCCAAAATCCCGGGATGCTGATCCCTGGCGGGCTCAGCAGGTGAAGCCCAGCTGGGGTTTAGCCCCAAAAGTTCGGGTTTAGCCCCAAAACCTCAATAACCGACTCCTTTCCCGCAGCCAACGCGACCTTGTTCGATGCTTCAGCTCCAGTGGCACCGAACACCACTAACGTGTCTCTGGTAAGGACTGGGATCTGCTCATCCCGGGGAAATTTGGGATCAGGGAGGGGGATCTGGGGGATTCCAGCACCCAGGAGCGAGGGGAACTCGAATTTGGGTTTCCAGCAGCACCAAATCCACGCTTGATTCCCCCAAATTTGTATCAGCTCTGCGGTTTTGGGTATCCCCAAAACTCTAGAAATTTGGCTTTCTTTGTGTGCTGAAGCAGCTCAAACTGCTGTTTTGGGGGTTTGAGCAGGAAATTTAATTTTTTTGCAAGTTGCAGTTGCTAAAAACACTGATTTTGATCAATTCAGTTGTGATATCCCATTATTCTTGCACAATACAATCCTAAAAGTACAAATTTGGGTTTTGGACAAGAAATTTCTCTTTTCTTGTACAGTGTGATCCTAAAAGTACAAATTTGGGTTTTGGACAGGAAATTTCCCTTTCTTTCCACACTGCACCTTAAAAATGCCAATTTTGCTGGATTTGGGTTGAAATTCCCCCTTTCACTGCACACCACAACAATTCCAGATTTTGCTAATTTTGCTTTTTTCGGGGTCTCTCGCCAGTCCAATGCTCTCAACCTCACAGCTCTGGACTGGACCCAGCTGAGTAAGAAGGAATGTCTCAAATACGGCGGCAGCTTAGTGGGAAAATCCTGCAAATTCGTGCCAGACCTGGCCCTCATGTCCTTCATCCTCTTCTTTGGCACCTACTCCATGACCCTGACCCTGAAAAAATTCAAATTCAGCCGCTACTTCCCCACCAAGGTAAGGAAAAAACCAGATTCTGCCAGATCCTTTCCCAAAAATGAGGGGAAACGGGAACTGCTGGGAGGTTTGGGTGGAGGCAGAGAACTCCAGGAGAAGAAATTCCTGGTTTTAGGAGGATTTGGCCAGACTTGGGGTCCTCCCTGAGGTTTTAGGCCCTGATTTTTGGAATTCTGTGAGGTTTTTGTGGTATCCTCCTCTCGGAACTGGAGCTGGGTTAATGGGTGGACAATTAATGAACAAGAATTTGTGGGATCATGGGTGAGGAATTGGTGGGATCATGGATGAGGATTGGGTGGGATGATCCCACCCAGAGGGAAGTGGTCACACCCAGAGTCCGATGGACATCAGTGACCAGTGGTGTCCAGGGCTCCCTGGCAGGGCCAGCCTTAATTAATGTGTTCATTAATGACGGAAACAAAGGGGTCAAGGGACCCTTGGGAGGTTTGCAGGTGACACCAAGGGACAATCCCGGAGGATGGGGACGTCCACAGAGACCTGGACAAGAACCCTTCCCCCACTCCGTTAATTACCCTTCCCACTCCGTTAATTACCCTTCCCACCCCGTTAATTACCATTCCCACCCCGTTAATCCTCTTTCCAACCCCGTTTCCCTGTCTTGCCTCCAGGTCAGGGCTTTCATTGCTGATTTTTCCAATGTCTTCTCCATCCTGCTCTTCTGTGGAGTGGACGCCTGTTTCGGACTGGACACCCCCAAACTCCACATCCCCAGTATCATCAAGGTTCGGCCTCCCCTCCTCTCCCGCGTTCTTTTTCCAGGTTTTTTTGGGAATTTCGCAGCTCCAGGCACTGTCTTAAAAGCTACTTCAACTTTTCTAACAATATTCTAATTTTCTGACTTTCTTTCCTCTCTTTTTTTGTTGTTTTTCCTTCCTTTTTTGTTGTTTTCCCTCCTTTTTTGCCATTTTTTTCATCCCTTTTTTGCCATTTTTCCTCCCTTTTTGCCATTTTCCCCTCCCTTTCCTCCCTCTCCCACCCTGACCTGCAGCTCCGTAAGCTCATTAGCGATTTCTCCATCTTTATGTCCATATTAATGTTTGTGGGGCTGGATGTGCTTTTTGGACTCAACACCCCAAAGCTCCAAGTGCCTACTGACTTCAAGGTAAAAACCCAAAATTCCACAAAACCCCATTCCGGAAGGATTCCTTGTCCCCCAGCCAGGGGTTGATGTGGGGAACCCAGTGAGGAACCCAAATGGAAATCCCAATAAGGATCCCAGTGAGGATCCAGTGACGATCCCAATGGAAATCCCAAAGGGGATCCCAATGGAAATCCCAATAAGGATCCCAGTGGGGATCCCTGTGAAGATCCCAATGGAAATCCCAATAAGGATCCCAATAGGGATCCCCGTGAAGATCCCAATGGGGATCTGGGGGCAGTTTGGGGCACAGGATTTAGGAGGGATCCGGGATGGGGTTGTCCCCAAACGCCACCCCTCGGGTTCTCCCAACCCGTGCCGCGTTGCCGAGGTTCCGACGCCGCTGTCCTCCCCAGCCCACGCGCGTGGACCGGGGCTGGTTTGTGTTCCCCTTCGGGAAGAACCCGTGGTGGGTGTACCTGGCCAGCGCCCTGCCCGCCCTGCTGGTCACCATCCTCATCTTCATGGACCAGCAGATCACGGCCGTCATCGTCAACAGGAAGGAGCACAAGCTGAGGGTGAGACACCTGGGGATCCCCCACATCACCCAGGGCACCCCAGGATCCCCCAGAGCACCCAAATTTGGGGTGGGTTTGGGGGTTTGCCCTGGCTCTAGTGGGGGCTGCCCCTTGGCCTCAGGCAGCTGCGGGTTTGGGGTGAGGGAGGGTCTGGGGGGTGGAGTTCTGTGGGTAATGGGGTGCAGGGGGTGAAATGGGGTGACACTGGGTGCCCCATGTCTGTGTGGGGGACATTGCAGTGACATCAGGTGTCCCATATCAGTGTGGGGTGATACGGGGGGACACCCCCACTGCAGAGCCCCCCGTGCAGAGCCCCCCATGCTGTGTTGCAGAAGGCAGCCGGGTACCACCTGGACCTCTTCTGGGTGGGCATCCTGATGGCCGTGTGCTCCTTCATGGGGCTGCCCTGGTACGTGGCCGCCACCGTCATCTCCATCGCCCACATCGACAGCCTCAAGATGGAGACCGAGACCAGCGCCCCGGGGGAGCAGCCCCAGTTCCTGGGGGTCAGGTGGGCCTGGGGGGCCATGTGGGTCTCAGAGGGGTCCTGGAGCTGGGGGGACATCCCTGTCCTGGGTGGGACACCAGGGCCAGGGAGGGATTGTCCTGAAGGGGACATGAGGAACAGCGTGGCCAGAGAGGGCCTGTCAGTCCCATTCCCACTGGTGGTTCCTCGGGCTGACCCTGCTCCTGTCCCCCCTCCAGGGAGCAGAGGGTCACCGGCATCATCGTCTTCGTGCTGACGGGCATTTCGGTTTTCCTGGCTCCTATCTTGAAGGTAAAATTCCCCTTCCCCCTCCCTGCAGAGATTTGGGGACACGGGGACAAAAGCTGGATGCTGTCCTGTCCTGGTGACCTCCAGCGCTGTCCCTGTCCCTGGGGAGGAGCTCTGCCTTCCCTGGGTCAGGGCCGTGGTGTTCCCTGTTCCCAGTACATCCCCATGCCGGTGCTCTACGGGGTCTTCCTCTACATGGGCGTGGCGTCGCTGAACGGGATCCAGGTGAGTGCCCGTCCTCCTCGGCATCCTCCTCATCCTCATCCTTTTCATCCTCATCTTCCTCGTCCTCTTCTTCCCCGTCCTCATTCTCCTTATCCTCCTCGTCATTCTCCTCTTCCTCCTCCTTCTCACTGGCCACAGACTGTCCCACGCTGGCTCCAAAAGGAGGATTTTTACTCCAAAATTTCCACACCTGGGAAAGCAGACACCCAAAACCCTCTGAGAAACACAAAAAACCTGGAAATTCCCCATTTGGAGGGAATAAAAGAGGCTTTTCCTGGGCAGTCTGTGGGGTGGGGCTGAGGATTAACCCCAGGCAGTTTTAGGATCAGTTCAAGCTCTTCCTCCATTTTGGGGTTAAAAGAGGGTTTTTCTGTGGGGTGGGGCTGAGGATTAACCCCAGGCCTTCCTCCCTGGGCAGTTTTGGGATCGCTGCAAGCTCTTCCTGATGCCAGCCAAGCACCAGCCCGACTACGTGTTCCTGCGGCACGTCCCGCTGCGCCGCATCCACCTCTTCACCCTGGTGCAGATCGTCTGCCTGGCCGTGCTCTGGATCCTCAAATCCACCGTGGCCGCCATCATCTTCCCCGTCATGGTAATCCCAACCTCGACCCAAAGGGTTTATTTGGGATTTAATGGAATTTTTGGTGTGGTCCCACCATGGCCGCCATCATCTTCTCCATTGTGGGTAATCCAAACCTTGCTACAAAGGGTTTTTTGGGATTTAAGGGGTTTTTGGCTTGGTGGTCACCACTAGATCTTGGCTTGAGATGCTCCTGGACCTCTCCCCTGTCAGATCTTGGCCCTGATCCTGGTGAGGCGGCTCCTGGATTTCGTCTTCTCCCAGCACGACCTGGCCTGGATCGACAACATCATCCCCGAGAAGGAGAAGAAGAAGGAGGACGACAAGAAGAAGAAGAAGAAAGGCAACAAAGGCGAGAGCAGCAGCGACGAGGAGGTGGGCACGGGGTCACCAGGGGCTGCCCAGGACAGTGGGGACATCCCAGAGCTGGGGAGGGACAATTCCCACTGGGAATTGGGATGAAGGTCTTGGATTCCTGGAGCTGTTCCAGGGCAGGGACAGAAGTGGCTGAGTGAGGGGCTCCAGGGGATATCCCAAAAGCTGGAATATCATGGCCAAAAAAAGGAACTCCTGAGGGAGAAGAGCCCAAATCCCCGGTTTAGGGCACAGCACCCATCCCTCAAAGCCTCAGTGTGACTTCTGCTCTGGGATTTGGGAAGAGGAAGGCAAGGCCTCCTCCTCCTCCTCTAGAGGTCTCAGGTCCCTCTGGGAGCTCCCTAGGTGTTGCCTTCAGCAGGAATTTCCCATTTCTTCCCCAGTTCCCACCTCCCTCAGTCATTAAGATCCCCATGGAGCCCCTGCCCGCGCAGCCCCGAAACGGGGGTCCCCAGTGCCTCCGCCGTAAGTACCGAGCCCAGGAGCCCTCCTAACCCTCCCTGGGCTCCGCTCGGCACTAACCCCGCTGCACCAGCAGGGTCAGGGGAAAAATCCACCAGGGAATCCCACCTGGGAAATCCCACCAGGGGAACCCACCAGGGAAACCCACCTGGGAAAACCCACCTGGGAAATCCCACCTGGGAAACCCACCTGGGAAACCTACCAGGGATATCCCACCAGGGGAACCCACCAGGGAAATCCCACCTGGGAAATTCCACCAGGGAAATCCACCAGGAGAAATCCACCAGCTCCAGAACCGTCGGAGCACTGTTCATCCCAAAGATCACCAAGATTTCCATAAATCCCAGAAAAAATCCAGGAATCTCCTGGGTTTCATCGCCCCCAAAAGCTTCTTGTGATGGAGTTTAATGGTTGGGAAAGAGCAGGTTTGGCTCCACCCTCACCAAAAATCCTCAGAATGAATTTGGGGGGTTCATTCCACAACCCAAAGGAGTTTGAGCTCAGTTTAACTCCTTAACTGCTGCTGGCAGGGCCTTTCCTCTGGCTGATCACCCTCAAAATCTGCAATTCCCAGGAATTTTCCTCCTCCTCCCATTGCCCAGAAAGGTGAACTTGGTGATTTTGGCAAAGAAAGGTGGGATTGGTGATTTTGATCCCAGAAAGGCAGGATCAATGATTTTGGCCCAGGATGCAGTGGGGCCCAGGGGGATTTTTGGGGTCACCTGGGGAGTGTTTCAGCTGCGTGTCCCCCCAGGAAAGAGGGCCTCCACCTGGAGCTCTGCGTTCTGACTCCTCCCCGAACGGCTCGGACATGGATCGCACGTAACCGGGACCCCTCCCCATCCCCATCCCCGGGGGGGAATTTTGGGATCCTCCCGGCTGCTGCTCCACCAATGTATAAAAACCTCAAAGCCTCCAGGCAGCAGCACCCCCGGGGCGGGTTTGGGGCGGGGGCAGCCCCCCTGGCTGCTCACCCCCCTCTCCCCTGCTGCCCCCCAGTATCACCCTCCACCTGAAGATCTCGTGCCCGTCGTCTCCCGCCTTTAACTACTCCCGCAACCCCATCTGTGCCGTGCCCCAGGTGAAGATCGAGATGGAGTCGGACTACGAGGACAGCGACACGGAGAAGGCCCCGCGGGACATGGGCAGCGAGACCACGCTATAGCCCCCCGCCCGCGGGACCCCCCCTTTAATTTAATTTATATCTAGATAGGTAGATAGCGCCGCGTTCGCGTGTACCGATAAAGGAACCGGGGGCGGAACTCTGCCCCACGCAGGCGGCCCCGGCGGCCCCGGCGGGTTTCAGGGTCCCGAACCCCGGTGCATTTCAGGGTCCTGCACCCCAGCGGGTTTTAGGGTCGCACGCCCTGGCAGATTTTAGGGTGGCGTGCTCCAGAATTCCCTCTCCTCCCACTGGGCAAAGGCAACGCCGCTGGCGGCGAAACGGGGCTGGAAAGGGGGGATTGGTGATTTTGGCAAGGAAAGGTGGGATTGGTGATTTTGGCACAGGAAAGGTGGAATTGATGATTTTGGCACAGGAAGGACGGGATTGATGATTTTGGGCCTTGAAAAGGTGGGATTGGTGATTTTGGACCCAGAAAGGAGGAAGCACCTGGGATGGGGAGGAGGAGGAGGCTCCTGGGATGAGGAGAAGGCAGCTGGGATGGGGATGAGGAGGAGGAAGAACAGAAGGATGGGGATGAAGAAGAGGAAGCTCCTGGGATGAGGAGGAGGAGGCACGGCAGGACGGAGAGGAGCCGGTGCCCGGGGAGGGAAGGGAAGGAGGAGCAGCTCAGGGTGAAGGGCTTTGCCACTTGAGGGCAACAAAGGGCAACAACTGCGCAGGGAATGGGGCCTTGGCTCCTGAGGGATCAGGAATGGTTCCTGAAGGAATTGGGAATGGTTTGTGAAGGGAGTTAGGAATGGTTCCTGAAGGAGACAGGGATGGTTAATTCAGGGAGTCAGGGATGGTTCCTGAGGGAATTGGGAATGGCTCCTGAGGGAGTCAGGGATGGTTAATTCAGGGAGCCAGGGATGGTTCCTGATGGAATCCAGGCTGGTTTCCACAGGGAAGTGGGAACAGTGGCTGCAGTGAAGCCCTTTGGTCGCCCACCCCACATCCTCACCCCCTACCTCTGCCAGAAACAGCCCCACCCCTCCTGCAGCCCTTCCCTCCCTGGAGGAATCCCCCGATGGGGAATCCAAGGATCCTCCATGGAGGAATCCCCTGGCAGAGGAATCTCCTGGCTGGGGCAATCCAAGGATTCCTTCTGGAAGAATCCTCTCCCTGGAGGAATCCCCTGGCTGGGGGAATCCGAGGATCCTCCCTGGAAGATTCTCCCTGCAGGAATCCTGGGATTCCCTCTGGCTCTGCCACCCAGGGGCTCCGTTCCCACCCCAGCCCCAGGAGCAGGGGGGAGAGCAGCCCCTGCCCCCAGTGCTCCCAGTTCCCCCCAGCAGCTCCTCCCAGTGCCCAGCAGCATTTTGGGGTCCCCAAGGGGCTCTTCCCACCTGGGTGGGGTCCAGGCTCCCTCCAACTCTTCCCAGCCCTGCCGAGGCTTTAAAGGATTTTGGTTTTTCTCCAGCACGGCCCAGGCCCAGCCCTGGTTTAGGAACGCTGGTCCCAACACCCCTGGCATCGATTCTTTCTCATTTTTCCTGGGTGAATCCTTCAGGTTTCTCCCTCCCAGAGCCCCCAGGCCCTTCCCGTGGGCAGAACTGACCTGACACTGACACCAGCAGCACTGGGGTTCTGCTGGGACACCGGTGACAACACACTGCAACTGGGACACCAGTGACACACTGGGACACCGGTGACACACTGGGACACTGGTGACACCCTGGGACACCAGTGACTGACACACTGGGACACCAGTGACACTTTGTACATAGGACACCAGTTCAACATTGGGGCACCAGTGACACATGTGAACTGGGACCCCAGTTCAGCCCTGTACATAGCACACCAGTCAAACACTGCAAACAGGACACCAGTGACACCAGCTCAGCCTGGGACTGGTCTGTTCCTGACCCCTGTACACACCCAAATCCCACTCTAAGGCTGTTTCCTGGCTTTGGCATTTCTCGTTCTGGTTCTGGCGCAGCTCTGGGGACTCGTGGCAGTGCCAACCCTGCCCTGGGACATCCAAACCCTGCCCTGGGAACATCCAAACCCTGCCCTGGGAACATCCAAACCCTGCCCTGGCAGTGCCAACCCTGCCCTGGCAGTGCCCAAACTCCTCCTGTAGCTCCTGTCCCCGCCCCGTGCCAGCTGCAGCGTGCTCTGGGCAGGTTTAAGGTTTTAATCCTGGTTTAACTCACTCTCTCTGCAGCATACTCTGGGCAGGTTTAAGGTTTTAATCTGGGTTTAATTTGCTCTCTGCAGCGTGCTCTGGGCAGGTTTAAGGTTTTAATCTGGGTTTAATTTGCTCTCTGCAGCGTGCTCTGGGCAGGTTTAAGGTTTTAATCTGGGTTTAATTTGCTCTCTGCAGCGTGCTCTGGGCAGGTTTAAGGTTTTAATCCTGGTTTAACTCACTCTGCAGCATGCTCTGGGCAGGTTTCAGGTTTTAATCCCGGCCTAATTCCTCCCCTGCAGCCCAGGCTCAGGGCCGTGGGCTCGGGGCTCTCTGGGCTGGGTTTGTCCCTCCTGGGCTCGGTTCCCCCGAGGCTTTTGGGGTTTTAGTCCCAAGTGTCAGCCCAGGCTGGGACTGAACCAGGCTGGACTTGTCAGCACAACCCAATAAAAATCTCCTTCCCTGAGCCTGAGCTCTCCTGTGCTTCATGGGAACCCCGAGTTCCCCTCCTGGGGCTGCAGCACCTCCAGCCTCTGGAACCCAAAAATCATAAATAACTTTATATATAAAATATATAATTCTATAGATAAATATATCATAGATATAATTATATATAGATAGAAAATACGATATATAATTATATATATGAGATATGGAATTCTATATAAAAATATAGAATAGATATATAAATATAAACCATGTAAAAATAGGAAAGTATCTAATGTACATAAATATATATAATTATATAGAAATATAAAAGATCTATGTAATACATTTAAAGCATCTATATAATTATATAGAAATTCAATATATATAATTATATAAAATATATCATTATATAGAAATACAATATATATAATTATATAAGATATATAATTATATAGAAATATAGTATATATAATTATATAAAATATATCATTATATAGAAATACAATATATATAATTATATAAGATATATAATTATATAGAAATATAGTATATATAATTATATAAAATACATAATTATATATTTTATATAATTATATTAAAATATAAAATATATAATCATATCTAAACATAAATATAGATATAGAATTGTATATAAATATTAGAATATATAATTATATAGACATAAAACCCCCAGGCCTTCAAAGCAAGCCCAGCTCCTCTCCAGCAGTGCAATAATCACATTATTCAAATACTATAATTATTAGAAAATCAGATTATTACAAAACCAGTCACCACTCCAGGCACAAGAAGGATTTTTTTGGTCTTCTCACACTTTATTTTGCCAGCCTGTGCTGCTCCCCCAGCCCGGCTGCTCTTTGGGCACAGAACAGGCCTTCAAAAACTCACCACCAGCCCAAAAGCAGGAAAAGCCCAGCCTAGCTGCACTCTAGAACAGGTTTAAAAATTCACCACCAGTCCAAAAAGAAAAGCCCAGCCTAGCTGCACTCTAGAACAGGTTTAAAAATTCACCACCAGTCCAAAAAGAAAAGCCCAGCCTAGCTGCTCTCTAGAACAGGCTACACCAGCCCAGGACTAAAGTATGGCTTTAGTTGTAATATTTTTGTTCAAGTAATTCCTCTAAAGAAGAGTTTAAACTACAGATCCAGCCAGGATCCCAACAGCTCCTGAGGGAGCAGGGCAGGTAATCCCAGCTCAAACACAAAGCTGAGTCTGGGCAATCCCAGCTCAAACACAGAGCTGAGTCTGGGCAATCCCAGCTCAAACACAGAGCTGAGTCTAGGTAATCCCAGCTCAAACACAAAGCAGGAGTGTGGATAATCCCAGCTCAAACACAAAACTGAGTCTGGATAATCCTAGTTCATAAACAAAGCAGGAGTGTGGGTAATCCCAGCTCAAACACAAGCTGAGTGTGGGTAATCCCAGCTCAAAGACAAAGCAGGAGTTTGGGTAATCCCAGCTCAGCCAATAAATACCTGTGACCCCAGGGGGAAAAGCCCCTCGTGCAAGACAATAAATAACAAATATTGCATTTCCTGCCGGCCTGTCGGGACTCGGTCTGGAATGGCGTGCTTAGGCCTGGCTCTGAGGGGCCTGCTTAGGCCTGGCTCTGAGGGGCCTGCTTAGGCCTGGCTCTGAAGGACCCCTCGTTAAGGCCAGCTCCAAGGGCCCCCATTAAGCCGGGCTCTGAGGGGCCCCTTGCTAGGCCTGGCTGCGAGGGGCCCTCATTAAACCCAGCTCTGATGGGCTCCTTGTTAAGCCCAGCACAGAGGGTCCTGTTTAGGCAGGCAGAGCCTCAAGCTCGCGGGGTTTCAGCAGCTGTTGGCAGCGATGACGGTGCTGAGAGGGGCCCCTCGTTAAACCCCCCTCGCTAAGCCCGGCTCTGGGGGCCCCTCGCTAAGCCCGGCTCTGGGGGCCCCTCGCTAAGCCCGGCTCTGTTCAGGCAGGCAGAGCCTCGAGCTGCTGGGCTTTCAGCAGTTTCTTGGCAGCGATGATGGTGTTCTTCATCAGCATGGCCACGGTCATGGGCCCCACGCCGCCGGGCACCGGCGTGATGTAACTCGCCTTCTTCCGCACCCCTGGGGGAAAAGCTCGGCTTAAGGGCTGGGCCGGGCTCCCCGGCCTAAAGCCATGCAGGTTCTGTCGAGATTAAGGCTTTAGGAACGGGGCCAGGTGGTTTTTCCCTGCTGGGAAGGCCCAGCCTGGGTGTGGAGGCCAAGGTGGGGAAAAGCGCCAAGCCAAGACTAAAAGCGCCAAGCCAGGCCTAAAAACACAAAGCTCTGAAAACACCAAAAGCCAGGCCATAAAGTACCAAAAAGCTGGGCCTAAAAGCACAAGCAATGAGACCTAAATGCACAAAAAGCTGGGCCCAAAAGCGCCAAGCCAGGCCTAAAAGTACAAAGATCTGCAAGCGCCAAAAAAACAGGCTCAAAAGCACTGAAAAGCTGGGCCAGAAAGCACCAGGGCCTAAAAGCACCAAAAGCCAGGCCTAAAAGCTGAGTTTTAGCACAGAAATGCCAGATCCAAGCCTGGGGTTGGAGCAGAGGCAGAGACTCAACTGCTGAGGCTCAGGAGGCTCCTCTGGAGCGTCCCCACGGAACATCCCGGGACACAAACCCGGCTTTGGCCCCTCCTCAGCGCCCACAAAAGCTGCTCCTGAGCCTAAAGAGCTGCTCCTGAGCCTAAAGAGCCGCTCCTGAGCCTGTCCTCACCTTCAAAGTCCACGTCCCCCACGAGCCTGGGCCGGGCCGTGACGGGGTCCTGCACGCGGGTGATGCCCACGTCGATCACCGCCGCGCCCTCCTTGATCATGTCGGCCGTGATCAGGTTGGGGATGCCTGGAAAGCACGGGCTCAGCCTCGGGGGATCCCCATCCCCCTGATCCCAACCCCCAGCGTCTTCCAACCCGCCTGGCATTCCCTGCCTTCCCAGAATTATTGGATTCAGGAATTTTAAGGGTTAATTTCACAATCGAAGCCATCCTAAGAAATGCAAATCTACCCCCTGATCCCAAACTCCCAGCATCTTCCAACCCGTCTGGGATGTCCTGCCTCCCCAAAATTATTGGATTCAGGAATTTTAAGGGTTATTTCCAACTTAAACCAGGCAAACCTATCCCCAGATCCCCGGGTGGGATTTTGGGGTGCTGTGCAGATCCCAGGGGGGATTTTGGGGTGCTGTGCAGCTCCCAGGGGCTGCATCCACAGTCCTGCTGGGTTCCCTCCCACCCCACCCCACGACTCCCCAGGTGCCCCTGCCAGGTGCTGCTCCCCATTCCAAAGGCAGCACCCCCAAACCTGAGGCAGCTTTTTGCCTCAGCCCCAGGAGCCCCCAGCCCCAGGAGCCCCCCGGGCAGGATTCCCAGCAGGAGCACCCCCAGGCCTGTGAGCCCCTGACCTGCAGCTGCCACCACGATGTCAGCACGGATGGTGTGCTGCTTCAGCTGCTCCTTGGGCGTGTAGCGGTGCGAGATCGTCACCGTGGCGTCACCTGCGGGGACAAGGGACACCAGGTGTGACTGAGCTCTGAGAGGAGCCATCACACCTGACAGCTCAGCTACCCTGAATGGCATCAAGTGAGCAGGATGGGTTCTGAGGCAGTGCTGGAAACAGAAAAGTTTTAGTAAAAGACAAAATAACGAAGTTCTCACAGAGAAAGGCCAAGCTAAGGGCAAGAGGTTCTTGTTCCTGCTAGAACACCCCACCAAAGGGATTATTTCCTTTGTTCACTTCCTTTTCTAGTGAATTTCCTAGACCAGACCTCTTGGCCTCTGTCCACTTGGCAGCCCCAGGTCTGGGGTGAAGTCCTAAGGGTCCTGTGAGGTGTCTTTGTACCAAACTGGGAGAGAAACTTCTGGGCTTTTTGCCTTTTCAAGCAGACAAAAAATAATTTGGTCACTCCATCAACAAGAGGCACATTCCTACAGGCCAGGAATTCACACCCAGCACCCAAAATCACAGCATCCAAACCCAAAGCCAGCCAGTCCTCTGCTTCTTCACCTCCAAGGTGCTGCTCAGGAACATCAGGGCCTGCTGCTGAACCCCAGGAGCAGCCTCGAGGGACAGGCAGGGATTTGGGGTGGAACAGGACAAGGAGCTGCTGAAGGAGGTTCAGGGAGGACCTTCTGCCTCTCCACAACTCTGTGGGGACAGGAGGGGACAGCCAAGGCAGGGTCAGGCTCTGCTCCCAGGAGAAAAAACAGCCTCAAAGTTTGGAGGAGAAGTTTAGGGTTGGATATTGGGAAAAAAAATCCATCATGGAAAAGTTGTAAAATAGAAACAGGGAGAGGATGAGATAAAACAGCCTCAAGCTGTGCCAGGGGAGGTTTAGGGCTGGATATTGGGAAAAAATCCATCATGGAAAGGTTGTAAAACATTGGAAGAGGCTGCCCAGGGAGAGGCCCCAGGCCTGGAAGTGCCCAGAACAGTGTGGACGTGGCACTGGAGGCTGTGGTGCCCATGGCTGAGTTTCATCACCTTGCACACCTTTCCAAGCTGAACAAGTCAGGGATTCCAAACTGAAATCTTGTGGATTCCAAACTGGAATCTTGTGGATTGAAATCTTGTGCTGGGGATTATTTCCCCCAGGGAGCTGCTTTAGGAGGTTCAGGGGAGGGTTGTGAGCCCCCGGTGCCCCGTCCTACCTCCGGGGCGCTCGTGGCTGCCGTCGGTGTGCAGCAGCATGGCGATGGGCATGCCCACGTTCTTGGACCTGCCCGCCACCACCACGTTCCTGCCCAGCGTCGGGATCCCTGCGGGGACAGAGCGCACCCTGACACGCTGCCCCGGGCCGGGAGGGACCCCAGGGACGGCTGAGCCCCCCGGGAGCCCCGCAGAGGCACCCAAAATCCCACCCTGGGAGCCCCGCAGAGGCACCCAAAATCCCACCCTGGGAGCCCTGCACAGACACCCCAAAATCCCACCCTGGGAGCCCTGCACAGACACCCCAAAATCCCACCCTGGGAGCCCTGCACAGGCACCCCAAAATCCCACCGTGGGAACTCTGCACAGACACCCCAAAATCCCACCCTGGGCATCCCTGGGTGGCCTGCACAGACACCCCAAAACTGGATGAGTTTTGAGCTCAGGCCACCCCAGGAAGCAGGAAAATCCCTCCCTGGCCTGGATATCTCCAAGACAGGACAATCCCTCCTGGCCCTGCTGTCCTTGATGTCCCTCCCAGGACAGGACAATCCCTCCTGGCCCTGCTGTCCTTGATGTCCCTCCCAGGACAGGACAATCCCTCCCTGGCCATGCTGTCCCTGGTGTCCTGAGCTGGAATTCCCAGAATCCCCAAAAGCTGCAGCAGCAGGAGCTCTCACCTGTCCTCTGGATGATCTCCCAGACGCCCCAGGGCGTGGCAGGCAGCATGGAGTCCTGGTCCAGGCACATCCTGCCCACGTTGAGCACGTGGAAGCCGTCCACGTCCTTGTGCGGGCTCACGGCGTTGCAGACGCGGCGCTCGTCGATGTGCTCTGCAGAGGGCAGGGGCTCAGGGGCTGGGCTGTGCTGCCAGCTGTGCTGCCAGCTGTGCTGCCAGCTGGGACTGTGACCCCGAGCCCTGGCATGGAGCTCTGACCCCAAACTGGAGCTGTGACCCCAAGCCCTGAGCTGGAATTGTGACCCCAAGCTGGAGATCTGACTCCAGGTCCTGAGCTGCAATTGCAACCCTGAGCTGGGATTATGATCCCAATCTCCGAGCTGGAATTGCAGCCCCAAACTGCAGCTGTGACCCTGAGCAGGAATTGCAGCCCCAAACTGCAGCTCTGATCCTGAGCAGGAATTGCAGCCCCAAACCGCAGCTGTGACCCTGAGCAGGAATTGCAGCCCCAAACTGCAGCTCTGATCCTGAGCAGGAATTGCAGCCCCAAACCGCAGCTGTGACCCTGAGCAGGAATTGCAGCCCCAAACTGCAGCTCTGATCCTGAGCAGGAATTGCAGCCCCAAACCCCCCAAGCTGGAGATCTGACTCCAGGTCCTGAGCTGCAATTGCAACCCTGAGCTGGGATTATGATCCCAATCTCCGAGCTGGAATTGCAGCCCCAAACTGCAGCTGTGACCTTGAACCTTGAGTTGGAATTGCAGCCCCAAACTGCAGCTCTGACCCTGAGCAGGAGTTGCAGCCCCAAACCGCAGCTCTGACCCTGAGCCCTGAGCAGGAGTTGCAGCCCCAAACTGCAGCTGTGACCCTGAGCTGCAGCTCTGACCCTGAGCCCGAGCTCACCCCTGCAGAGCGTGGTCCCTGACTCCCCACACTCCCAGCTGCAGGCTGGCAGCTCCAGCACTGGGAGCACTCTGCAGTGAGCCCTGCTCACACGGGGAGCATTCTCAGGCAGCCCAAGGCCGCGCACACCCAGCTGGGGAAGCTGACACTCCCACACAGGAATAGCTGCCAAGGACTGAACCCTGAGGGCAGCTGCTGCTGAGGGGGAGGATCAGGGCAGGGTCCCCCCTGTGCCTCCCCCTTGGAAGCTTTCTGGGAATGCAGGAGGGAACTGAGCTGCTCACCAGGCAGGGGAAGCTGCACCAGGAGCCCGTCCACGGCCGTGTCACTGTTGAGCTTGGCAATCAGCTCCAGCAGCTCCTCCTCGCTGATGGAGGCTGGCCTCAGGATGGTCTCGCTGCTGATCCCTGGAATTGCCAAATCCACGGTGTCAGTAAGGCACAAAAGAGTGATTTTCACAGATTTTGTGCATTTTCTGCCCTGTTTTGCTGCCTGGCTAAATCTAGGAGGTGCACACCGAGGATGGAAGGGTTTGTGTGGCTCCCAGGCTGGAGGATCCTTCACAAGCCTTGGGATTTATTGTTGAGGATGACTTTATGGGGCTGGTGGCCTGGGAAAGGGGGTTTGAGACTCTGCCAGAGCAGGGAGAAACACAAGCAAAGGCTGCTGCCATGAAAATAAAACCACATGGCCTGAGAGGCCTCTGGACACAGTAAAAAAGGGATATTTGCCTCAAAATCCCAGCTCCAAAAGCAGCTTCAGCTGTTCAGAACCAGGTTAAGTGACACCATTTATTGCCCCTGACCCCAAGCAGGACCTTGGACTGCAGGATGGGAAGGAGTCAGAGAGCAGCGAGGCTGCTGACCAGGATCTGCCCCAGGCAGATGGGAAAAGGAGGCCAAAAATCCCCTCCTGTGCTTTTCACGGCTCTGGGAAAGCTGAAAAACCCCAATCCTGCCCTGAAGGATCCAAGTGATCACACCTAACCACACCCCAGGACAACTGGGCAGCCACAAGAACCCAAATTCCGGGTGAAGCCAAAAAACCAACAGGTGGGTGCACCCCAAAAAAAGCTTCCAACATCGAGGGCTCCCAACCAAACTGCGTTTTTAGAGAACAAAACCCTCCCACTCACCCACATCAGCCGCTGCTTTGGTTTTGTTGAGGACGTAGGAGTGGCTGGCCGGGTTCTCCCCCACCAGCACCACGCTCAGGTGGGGCCTCCTGTTGCCGGCAGCCACCCACTGCTGCACCTCGTGCCGCGCTTCCTGCCGGATCTGCCGCGCCAGCTTCCTCCCCGAGATCACCACGGCGTCCTCCCTGCGGGGGAAAGAAAGGGTCAGCACAGCCCCGGGCCCTGCGCTGCCAGCCAGGGCGGAGCAGGAAACCAGGGGCAAAAGGGGAAAGGGTGAGCACAGCCCGGGCAGGATGGAGCAGGAAACCAGGGGCAAAAGGGGAAAGGGTGAGCACAGCCCGGGCAGGATGGAGCAGGAAACCAGAGGTAAAAGGGGAAAGGGTGAGCACAGCCAGGGCAGGATGGAGCAGGGAACCAGGGGCAAAAGGGGAAAGGGTGAGCACAGCCCGGGCAGGATGGAGCAGGGAACCAGGGGCAAAAGGGGAAAGGGTGAGCACAGCCAGGGCAGGATGGAGCAGGGAACCAGGGGCAAAAGGGGAAAGGGTGAGCACAGCCCGGGCAGGATGGAGCAGGGAACCTGGTGATAAAAGGGTGAGCACAGCCAGGGCAGGATGGAGCAGGGAACCAGGGGCAAAAGGCTCCATCCCTTGTGCTTTGTCGGGGCCTTTGGCACCTCTGTGCTCGGTCACGTTTCCAGCATCAAAGCTGGGACCAAACGGGGCAGGATCAGAATATCCTGAGCTGGAAGGGACCCACCAGGATCAATGATTACACCCCAACATCCTGCCCTGTGCAACGCTGGGAATGTTGGCCAAATATTGTTTGGAGCAGGGTGAGATGCTTGGGGGTCTCTGTCCCTGTCACCCCAGGGAATGCTCTGGGCTCTCTGTCCCCCTCACGCCAAGGAATAACCAAGAAGAGGGGCTGATGGTCTCCTTTCTCACTCAGGGGGTCTCTGTCCCTCTCACCCCAGCGCCCAGGGGGTCTCTGTTCCTGTTATTCTGGGGAATGACCGGAGGGTCTCTGTCCCCTCAGCCCGGGCTGGCTCCGCTCCCCTCCCGCCGTGGCAGCCCCGCTGTGGGGCGGTCTCTGTCCCTCTCATTCTGGGGATGATGGGGGTGTCTCCATCCCCCTCACCGCAGGGGCTGCCCAGGAGCATTTCCATCTCCCCTCACGCCGTGGCAGCCCCGCTGTGAGGCGGTCTCCGCTCCCCTCAGCCCGGGCGGTCTCTGTCCCCTCAGCCCGGGCTGGCTCCCTCCCTCCCGCCCGTGCCGGGGCAGCCCCGCACTCCCACGCAAGGCGGCCGCGGGATTTCATCAGCCTGCAGCTCCCGCCGCGGCCGCTGGGGGCCGGCCCGCCGCCCTCAGAACCACCGGGGCCAAACGGGCCGCGACCCCGGCCCGGGGACCGCCCGAACCGAACCGGGCCGGGCCGCCCACCTCACAACCCTCCGGGCCCGGGCGGAGCGCGGCGGGCGCTGCTCCCACCTCCCTCCCGAGCATCCCCGCACATCCCCCGGTGTCCCGGCCGTACCGGGCGGCGCTGAGGTGCAGGCGGCGGGCGCGGGGCTCCAGCGCGGCGCGGCTGAGGGAGCGGAGGGGCCGGAGCGCGGAGGCCATGACATAACCGAACGTGACAAGTGGCGGGAACAGCACTGAGGGGAACGCCGCTTGCCGCCCCCTATATAGCTGATAAGCCCCGCCTCCCCGGCCGTAGCCAATGGGGTTCAGCCCCAAAAATGATTGATTGAGGCTTTCACCTTCGGCGGCGGGAGAGCCGCTGGGGCCGGGCTGGAACGTCGGGCCCGGAGCGAACATGAACAAAAACACCGAGGGATTGGTTATTTTTGGTATAATTAGCGTCACCTCCGCAGCCCGGCAGTGGGCGCGGTGAGGGTGGGTGGGCGAGAGGCTGGAGGGACCCCTGGGCCCGGCCCCAGCCGTGGGCAGCAGCTCGGGGGGCTCTGCCCTCGGCCCCGCTCAGGTGAGACCCCACCTGGAGCGCCGGGAGCTGCTCTGGAGCCGGGCTGGGAGAGCTGGGAATGTTCCCCCGGAGAAGGGAAATTCCAGGGAGAGCTGGGAATGTTCCCCTGGAGAAGGGAAGGATCCAAGGAGATCCCCAGGGAGAGCGTCCAGCACATTCCGGCCCGGAAGGGGCTCCAGGAGAGCTGGGGACACACCGGGAACACCGGGAAATTCTCCCAAAATCCCGCTTTAACCGTGGCCCCACCCCCGCCCCGCACCGACCAATCAGATCGCTCTCTCGTTCTGTCCCCACCCCTTTATTGTGACATCACAAAAGGCCGCGACGCTCAGTCCCTCCTCTATTACGTCACGGAACTCCCATTGGCTGTTGGGGAGAGGGCGTGGCTTGCCTGGAGTATAAAAGGCTGTGCCCGCGCGTGGCGCCCAGCGCCGGTCCAGGGAGGGAGAGGGAGGGAGGGAGAGAGGGAGGGAGGGAGGGAGTGAGTGAGTGAGTGAGTGAGTGAGAGAGAGAGGGAGGGGGAGGGAGAGAGAGGGAGGGAGGGAGGGACGGTGCCGGGGCCGGGTGCAAGGAGCGCGGACACCCGCAGGAGCACCCCCCCGGTGAGGGACAAAATAAAATTGGCAAAAATCACACTGAACGCTGTGCCTGGTCTGTGCTGTCCCCACGGGCCGCGCCACCCACTCGAATCACAAAACCCCCACCCCCGGAGTGGGGCTGGGACCCTCAAAAGTGGGGCTGGGACCCCCAAAGACCCCTCCCCATAAACGTAAAACCCCTCAAAATGGGACAGAGACCGCTCCCCATGGGCCTGGGACCCCCAAAGACCCCTCCCCATGGGCCCAGGCATGACAAAGAGACAAAACTCCAGGAAAACTCTCCTTGGAAACAGCTCCCAGCATGGACAATCCCCCCAGTCCTCTCCTAGCCCGGGGGCCACCAAAACCCCCCCGGGGACCACCTGTGCTGGGTGGGCACATCCTGGAAAGGCGCAGGGGTGGGATCCTGGCCAGGAGGGCGATGCCAGCCCAACCTGAGTGCCCAGGGCAGCCCCGAGGCCACCTGGGCAGTCCCTGAGGTAGGACATGCAGGGCTGGCCACATGCTGGGAAACGGGGAGGGGGACCCCCAGAAATGAGGAGGGGGCTCTTCCAGTTCATCCAGCCGGGAAAAGCAGCAGCAGCATCCGGAGGGGCTCGTCCGGGGGGGTTCTGGTGGCCGCAGCTGGATGGTGGCAACTGGGAAGTCTCTGCACCCCTCAGCTGGGCTGGCACCGTCCCCATGCCAGGGATTTGGGGGGTCCTTGATGCCCTGGCACTGGTGGCAATGCGGTGTGGCCAGTACTAGCCAGGGTGGGGCTCATCTGGTGGCCACAGCGGCGAGAGAAGCACTGGGAAGTCTCTGCACCCCTCAGCTGGGCTGGCATCGTCCCCATGCCAGGGATTTGGGGTTCCCTGCCACCCTGGCATGTGGCCAGGGATGCGGCCACCACTCGCCCAGGAGGGGGCTCGTCCAGGAGGGTTCTGGTGGCCACAGCAACAGGAGAAGCGCTGGGAAGTCTCTGCCAGGGAACGTTCCAGCACCCCTCAGCCGGGCTGGCACCGTCCTTTGGGGGCCCCTGGCACGGGTGGCAATGGGGATGTGACCCCCGCTAGCCCGGGGTGGGCTCCCCCGGGGGTCTGGGGTCAGTAGAAGTGCTTGCGGCTCTGCTCCTGCCACTTGTTGTAGAGGATGATGCCGATGACGATGGCGAAGACGAGGGCCACCAGCGAGAAGAAGACGATGAGGAACAGGGCCAGGCCGCTCATGGGCTCCAGCGGCGCCTATATCCCGGGAACAGGGATTTGGGGATTTGGGGATGAGAGTTTGGGGTGTGGGAGTGCGGGATTTTGGGACAGGAGTTTGGCATTTCGGGATGAGGAACAGGGCCAGGCCGCTCATGAGCTCCAGCGGCGCCTCCACTGTGGGAACGGGGATTTGGGGTTTGGGGGTTTTGGGATTCTCAGATGGGATTTTGCCACTCACTTCCCGGCAGCCTCAGGTTGTCCACCACGGGCAGGAAAACTTCCCGATCCCGTTTCTCCTCCTCCGGCGTCCGCTCCACCGTCAGCTGGTACAGCTTCAGCGAGATGATGTCGTGGTTGTCTGCAAAAAAGCCCAAAAACTTTTTATTCCAGGCTCATGCCAAGGTTTTATTCCATGCTAATCCCGGTATCCCACCTGGAGCCCCAAATCCACTCGGGAACCCCAAATCCACCTGAGGACCCCAGCTGAACCCCCCAAATCCCCTTGGGAACCCCCCCGGACCCTCCAGGCTGTACCTGACAGGTCCCCAGTGACAGAGGACGTCCCAAAGTAGTAGCCACGGGGCAGCCGCACGCCGGGCACGTCGATGCAATCCCGCCACTCGTGCTTGCCGTCGATGTCGATCAGCACCTGCCGAGGAACAGCCTGAGCCTCTCCCAGCGCTTAAAACTGGCTTAAAAGCTAAAACTGGGTTTAAAATTTAGGTTTAGAATCGCAGCACGTTGAGGATCTGCGGTTACAATTGGAGGGTTTGAAGGTTTTCGTGTTGGTAGGTGCTGGCGCTCAAGAGGACACTGCGCTGGAGAGGAAGGCGTGGAAGAAAATCCCAAATCCACTCTGGAATCCCACCTGGAACCCCCAAGTCCATTCAGGAATAATACCTGGAACCCCCAAATCCACTTGGGAATCCATCCTGGAGCCCTCAAATCCACTCAGGAATCCTAAATCCACTTGGGAATCCCACATGGACCTCCCAAACCTACCGTGAGCCTCCTCTTGACGTAGCAGATGACCAGGAAGGTGTCGTGGTTGAGGCTGCACACCATGGTGGTGCAGCACTCATGAACCCCAAACCCACCTGGGAATCCCACCTGGAACCTCCAAACCCACCCAGATCCCACCTGGAGCTCCCAAATCCCACCTGGACCCCCAGACTGACCGTGAGCCTCCTCTTGACGTAGCGGATGACCAGGAAGGTGTCGTGGTTGAGGTTGCGCACCATGGCGGTGCAGCACTTGGGAACCTCAAAACCACTCAAGAATCCCAAAGGAGCCCCCAAATCCACTTGGGAATCCCACCTGGAGCCCCCACATCCCACCTGGACCCCCAGACTGACCGTGAGCCTCCTCTTGACGTAGCGGATGACCAGGAAGGTGTCGTGGTTGAGGTTGCGCACCATGGCGGTGCAGCCGCCCAGCTCGGTGGGGCGCCCGTCGCGGTCGTGGTCGTAGGTCAGCGAGCCGTTGTTCACCATGGCCGAGATGTAGGGGAACACGCGCTGCCCGGGGGGGAAAAACTGGGGTTGGGATCCTGGAGGAGGTTTGGGATGGCGGGGAGACGCCGGGAAGGGGAGGTGGGGTAGGGCTGGAGTTGTTCGGTGGAAGAGCAGAGCGATCCCAAAGTTCTCCAACTGCGAGCCCAGAGGCCTTCAAGCAATGGGGGAACGATCCCAAAGTCCTCTAACCAACACAGGAATGATCCCAAAGTCCTTCACCCCACAGAGATCCGCTCAAAACAACACCAGAGTGATCCCAAAGTTTTCCAACCATGACCCCAAAGTCCTTCACCCCACAGAGATCCGCTCAAAACAACCTGGGAATGACCCCAAAGTCCTTCACCCCACAGAGATCCGCTCAAAACAACCTGGGAACGATCCCAAAGTCCTCTAACCAACACAGGAATGATCCCAAAGTCCTTCACCCCACAGAAACCTGCCCAATGCAACACCAGAGCGATCCCAAAGTTCTCCAACCATGATCCCGAAGTCCTTCACCCCAAAGAGATCTGCTTAAAACAACCTGGGAACGATCCCAAAGTCCTCTAACCAACACAGGAATGATCCCAACGTCCTTCAAGCAACATGGGAAAGATCCCAAAGTTCTCCAACCAACGTGGGAATGATCCCGAAGTCCTTCACCCCACAGAGATCTGCTCAACACAACACTGGAATGACCCCAAAGTCTTTCAACCGACACTGGAATGATCCCAAAGTCCTTCATCCCAAATGATCTGCTCAGAAACCACCAGGATGACCCCAGACTCCATCCCTGGGGACCCCAAACCCCAAAAATCTCCTCAAAACCCACTGGGATGACCCCAAACTCCATCCCCCAGGATCATCTCCCACTGATCCAGCACCGAGCCCCCGTTCCATGCAGCCTCTCGTGGCTCCCCCAGGGATTCCTGGATCTGGGAACGGGCAATTCCAGGTGGGACAGCAGGAGGCAGTACCTGGTTTCCAGGGCTGTACCTCCTCTTCTGAGCCTGCCCTCCAGGATTAGCACAAAGCAAGAGAGAGCAACACAGTCACAGAGTCCAGCAGGACCCAAAATCCCGGAAAATTCCCCCCGGAACAGAGTCCAGCAGGGCCCAAAATCCTGGAATTTTTGCTTTTTCTCCTTTTTGGAGCTCTTTTTGGTCTTTGGAGCTCTTTTTGACCTTTTAGATATCTTTTAGTCTTTTTTGAAGCTCTTTTAGGCCTTTTTGGAGACTTTATGACTTTTTGGAGCTCTTTTTGACCTTTTTGGAGACTCTATGTCTTTTTGCAGCTGTTTTTGACCTTTTGGGAGATCTTTATGACCTTTTGGAGCTCCTTTTGTGTTTTTTGAAGCTCTTTATGATCTTTTTGGAGTTCTTTTTGTCCTTCTGGAGCTCTTTTTGACCTTTTTGGAGATCTTTTTGATTTTTTGGAGCTCAGCTGGAAAATTCTATGTGGAATAGGAATGGGAAGAGGAGGAGAAGGAGGAGGAGGAAGGAGCTCTGAGGATGAAGAGCTGTGTGTGACACTGGTGGCTCTCACCTCCTGCTGCTTCTCCTCGTTGGGATACGTGTCCACGAACACTCCCAGCCCCAGGAAGTTGTCCTTGCTCCCAAAAACAGGTCCTGGAAGGGGAAAAGAAAAGTTGGGATAAGGTTGGGAAGCTCAGGGAAGAAGTTTGTCACTTGTTTGGGAAAGCCCTCAAGGACCATCCAGTCCCATCCATGTGGATGATTTCCCTGAGTCCAGGATGCTCCAAGCCCTGTCCAAGGTGTCCCAGGTGTCCCCAAACCCTATCCAAGATATCCCAGGTGTCCCCAAACCCTATCCAAGGTGTCCCCAAACCCTATCCAAGGTGCCCCCCAAACCCTGTCCAAGGTGTCCAAGATGTCCCCCAAGTCCAGGTTGCTCCAAGCCTTGTCCAAGGTGTCCCCAAGCCCTATCAAGGTGTCCCAGGTGTCCCCTAAACCCTGTCCAAGGTGTCCCCCAAGCTCCAAGCCCTGTCCAAAGTGCCCAAGGTGTCCCCACAGCCCTGTCCAAGGTGTCCCAGGTGTCCCCAAACCCCATCCAAGGTGTCCCAGGTGTCCCCAAGCCCTGTCCAAGGTGTCCCAGGTATCCCCAAGTCCTGTTTCAGGTGTCCCCAAACCCCATCCAAGGTGTCCCACATGTCCCCAAACCCCATCCCAGGTGTCCCAGGTGTCCCCAAGCCGTGTCCCACGTGTCCCCAAGCTTTATCCAAGGCGTCCCACGTGTCCCCAAGCTTTATCCAAGGTGTCCCACGTGTCCCCAAGCTTTATCCAAGGCGTCCCACGTGTCCCCAAGCTTTATCCAAGGTGTCCCAGGTGTCCCCACAGCCCTGTCCAAGGTGTCCCAGGTATCCCCAAGTCCTGTTTCAGGTGTCCCCAAACCCCATCCAAGGTGTCCCAGGTGTCCCCAAACCCCATCCCAGGTGTCCCAGGTGTCCCCAAGCCGTGTCCCCGGTGTCCCCAAGGCCCTGTCCCGAGGCAGGGACGGCGTTTACCCGGCTGCATCCTGTCCTTGGTGTACCAGATGGCGAAACCATCCCCGTTGAGGTTCTTCTTGCCTTGCCCGTGGATCTTGAAGTGCACCTGCATCTCCCAGTCCCGCAGGTAACAGGGCTGGCAGAGAGGAGGAAAAGTGGGAAATTCGGGAACCCCTCATTCCCTAATTCCACGTCCGCCACCCCCTGGGCTCCCTTCACCGAATCCTGGATAGTTAATCCCAAAAAACATCGTTAATCCCAAAGAAACCATCGTTAGTCCCAAGAAATTGGTTGTCACCCAAGGGTTGAACACTGAGGGAGTGACTCCCAACAAAATCAGGGAAAGAAGCAGGAAAGCCTCAGGAGCAGCTGCTAATTGCAATTATTAATTAGCTGCCAATTAATTCTGTGTTCTGAGGGAGTCACGGTGGCTTTTTGGGAGCTGGAATTCCAAGGAAAAATCTGATTCCCACTCTGGAAATCCAATTCCCACTTGGGGAATCCTGTTCCCACTTTGGGAATCCCTCTCCCTCTCCTAACCCTGCTCCAATTCCAATCCTGACCCTCTCCCTCTCCTAACCCTGCCCCGGTCCCAGTCTTGATCCCGATCTTGATCCCAACTCTCTCCTGACACAATCCCAATCCCAACTCTCTCCCCCATCCCATCACATCCCATCCCATGGATCCCATCCCATCCCGGTGCCCAACCCAGCGATCCCATCCCATGGACCCCATCCCATGGATCCCATCCCATCCCGGTGCCCAACCCAGCGATCCCATCCCATGGACCCCATCCCATGGATCCCATCCCATCCCGGTGTCCCCTCAGTCCCGATGCCCGCCTGTCCCAATCCCAGTCCTGTCCCTTTTCATTCCGGTGCCCCGTCCCGGTCCCGATCCCCTCCTGTGCCCGGTGCCCCCCGCTCACCACCCGGTTCCACACGGCTCCCTGCTTGCTCTGCACGTCGGGGGTGAGGCGGATGAACTGCGTCATGACCATGGCGTTGCCCAGCAGGTCCCAGAGTCCCGAGCTGGCCGAGCTCACACCTGCGGCCCACACGCACCGTCGGTACCGGACACCGGCACGGGGCACCGGGCACCGTCCGCCAGCACCGCCCGCCCTCCCCGCTCACCCTGGTACGGTTTGGACAGCGAGTGCTCGCGTTTGAGGTGCTCCTCGGTCTGCTCGGCCGCCGTCCCGCCGAGCCGCAGCAGCACGGCCAGCAGGGCCAGCCCGGCCCGCCACCGGCCCGCCGCCGCCATCTTCCCGCGCCGCGCCGCGGCCCGCCCCGCGCGCCCATTGGCTGGCTCCCTCCGCTGTTCCCGCCCACGAGGCGAAGCACCAATGATGATTGGTTAAATGAGATGTCTGTCAATTGGATATCCGAGGGGGTGATGGGTAATGTAGTTCCTGCGCCTGATGATGGCAGCCGCCGCTGAGCTGGGTGACCTCCCTTCTCTCGGGTCCCGGTGCCACCCCCAGAGGTCCCGGTGCCACCCCGTGTCCAGTGACGTCACACGGGGCGTGTCCCTGTACCCCCAGCAGTGTGACTCCCTCAGCGTGGGCGTGGTCCTTCAGGTGACGTCACCGCCCGGTTGCCCCCCAGGACCGCTTCTCCTGCTGCGGGGTGTGACGTCACATCAAAGGTGTCACCGAGGGGGTGCGGGGAGTGACTGGGGGCGTGGTCCTGTGGATGACGTCACACGGGGGGGTGTATCCCTGTAAGAGTTTCCTACACCACGTGGAGAGGGGAACGTGTGTCTGCGTGACGTAACCGCTGAGGGCGTGGCCTTTTACTTCTGAGGCGTGGCCAGATTGTCCCTCCCCTCAGCTGAGTCTCGTTCCGTGTGTGACGTCACCCCTGAGCGTGACCTCATTGAACCCTCCAGGGCGTGCCCGTAGTGACGTCACCCTCGTGGGGGCGTGGCCGCGTGGCGGCCGTTCGCCGAGGGGGCGTGCCCTCCGCGCGTGACGTCACCGCGCGGGCGCGTCCGCCCGTGCGTGACGCTCCCGCCAGTGCCCAACATGGCGGCGGGCGGCGGCGGCGGCGGCTGTGGGGGGACCCCGCTCTCGCCGGGCCCGTTCCTGCCGCCGCTGCTGCTGCTGCTGGCGCTGCCCGGCGGCGCCGTTCCCGCGGCCGACACCGTAGTGCTGGGGCTGCGCCTGGAGGAGAGCACCAAACCGGCGGCGGCGGCGGCGGTGGCACCGGCGGGGGCGGCCGAGCGCGGGCCCATCCGCCTGACGGAAGGCAGCGAGGCCTTGCTGCGGCTCTACGGGCTGGGGCTGGGCCCCGGCGCCGCCGAGCGCGTGGCCTTCGCCGAGCTGCGGCCGGGCGGCAACGCCTCGAGCGGCAACGCCACGTGCCAGGAGCGCTCGCAGGACCTGGTGGTGCGGCCCGGGCCCGCCGAGCCCCGCGACACCTCGGCCCTGCTCCGCGTGCGGGTGCAGCCGCTGCGCAAGGACGAGAGGGCCAAGACCTACGTGCTGTGCTCGCAGCGCCGGCCCGGCCAGCCCTGGCTGCCGCACCAAGGGCCCGACGGGCACGTGGTGGTGCTGGAGGAGAAGAAGTCGCTGCTGCCGCTGTGGTTGCAGGTGATTCTGATCGCGGGCTTGTTGGTGCTGTCGGGGATGTTCAGCGGGCTCAATTTGGGGCTGATGGCGTTGGATCCCATGGAGCTGAGGATCGTGCAGAACTGCGGCACCGATAAGGAGAAGCGTTACGCCCGCAGGATCGAGCCCATCCGCAGGAAGGGGAATTACCTGCTCTGCTCGCTGCTGCTGGGCAACGTGCTGGTCAACACCACGCTGACCATCCTGCTGGACGACCTCATCGGCTCCGGCATCGGCGCCGTGGTGGCCTCCACCATCGGCATCGTCATCTTCGGCGAGATCGTGCCGCAGGCGCTGTGCTCGCGGCACGGGCTGGCCGTGGGCGCCAACACCATCGTGGTCACCAAGTTCTTCATGCTGGTCACCTTCCCGCTGTCCTACCCCATCAGCAAGCTGCTGGACTGCATCCTGGGCCAGGAGATCGGCACCGTCTACAACCGGGAGAAGCTGGTGGAGATGCTGAAGGTGACGGAGCCCTACAACGACCTGGTGAGGGAGGAGCTCAACATGATCCAGGGAGCGCTGGAGCTGCGCACCAAGACGGTGGAGGACGTGATGACCCCGCTGCAGAACTGCTTCATGATCAACAGCGACGCCATCCTGGACTTCAACACCATGTCGGAGATCATGGAGAGCGGCTACACGCGCATCCCGGTCTACGAGGACGAGAGGTCCAACATCATGGACATCCTCTACGTCAAGGACCTGGCCTTCGTGGACCCCGACGACTGCACGCCCCTCAAGACCATCACCAAGTTCTACAACCACCCCGTGCACGTGGTGTTCCACGACACCAAGCTGGATGCCATGCTGGAGGAGTTCAAGAAGGGTGAGGAGGGGCTCGCGGAGGTGCTGGAAGGAAAATTCCGGAGGGTTTTGGTCTCCGGGGCTGGAGCTGGCCGTGCCAGAGTGGCCACAAAACCAAGGGAACAAGTGACAGCTCGGGGACAGGCAGGAGGTCGCCAAATTTAAGGTCCCTTCCAACCCAAACCGTTCCCTGATTCCGTGTGCTGGTTCGGGTGGGATTTTGGGAAGGAAGGTCCCAACATTTGGGGGTTTTGATCTCATGGATTTGGAGCTTGTCCGTGCCAGGGGTCTCCAGAGTGGCCACAATCCCAAGGGAACAAGTGACAGCTTGGGGACAGGCAGTGGGTCACCAGATTCAAGGTCCCCTCCAACCCCAACCGTTCCCTGATTCCATGGGCTGGTTCAGGTGGGATTTTGGGAAGGAAGGTCCCAAAATTTGGGGGTTTTGTTCTGTGTTTGGAGCTTTCCCATGCCAGGAATGTTTTCCTTGTTTTTAATGCTCAGCCCCAGAAGTTTTTGGAGAAGCGCTGGAAAATCTCTGGGCTCCTTGGATTTGGGTTTGGTTCCCTCCTCTGGGCTTTTCCCTGGAGCTGGCGACAGCCAGGGCTGCCAGAGCCAGCTCCATCCTCATCCTCCTCCTCATCCTCACTCTGCTTCCCAAAAACCAGCAGCAGGAGGAGGAAGGGGATGAAGGAAAGCTCCCAGGTGGGATTTGCACTTCTGGGGATCTTTTCCCAAGGTTTTCCAGCCTGACCCCACAATTCCTTTGGGATGAAGGAAAGCTCCCAGCTGTGACCTCAAGCTCAGCTCCTGCAGGAGGCTCAGCCAGAGCTTTGTGCCACATTCCAGGGACATTTAGGGATTCCTAAACCCCATCCAGGGCTGACTTAGGGACTCCTAAACCCCATCCAGGGACATTTAGGGATTCCTAAAGCCCTCCAGGGACATTTAGGGATTCCTAACCCCCTCCAAGGACATTTAGGGATTCCTAAGCCCCTCCAGGCGTGGGGAACATCTGGGAGAGGCTGTCCCAGTCCAGCCCAGTTCCAAAAGCAGTGAGTGCAGAGCTGCTGCTGGGGTTGGGCTTATCCTGGCTGCTGGCAGAGGCTTTCCCTGCCCCGATCCCGATTAAGGGATTTAAGCTCCCTCCTTCCTTCCTTCCTTCTTTCCTTCCTTCCGGGCACAAATCCCAGCCCTGTTATTTTTCCACCGCCGGCTCAGGAGCCGGGAATTTGCGGGGTTGGGGTTTTGGAGGTGAGCCCCGTGAATTCCTGGTGGGTTCAGGACCTCCTTGACCCGGTCGGGAGCCGGATCAGAGGCAGGAGAGGGAATAATTAAGTGGTTGTGCTAATTGTGGGGTTTGAGCCGTGCCCCAGGGCTGTGGGGATGTCACAGGTGCTGCCCTTGGGGTGACAATTCCTTCCCAGCTTGAGGATTTGAGTGGGGAATTTCCCTCTGGAGCTGGGAATGTTCACCTGGAGAAGGATCCAGGGAGAGCTGGGAATGTTCCTCTGGAGAAGGGAAGGATCCAAGGAGAGCTCAGAACCCTCCAGGAGAGCTGGAGAGGGACTGGGGACAAGGGATGGAGGGACAGGACACAGGGAATGGCTTCCAAATGGAAAAATAGAGATTTTAGTGGGATTTTTGGGAAGGAATTCCTGGCTGGGATGGAATTCCCAGAGCAGCTGGGACCCCTGGAAGCGTCCAAGACCAGGTTGGAGCCACCTGGGACAGTGGAAAGTGTGGGACCCATGGTGGGACCAGCTTTGGGGTTCCCTCCAACCCAAACCATTCCATGGCTCCCTGTGGAGATTTAGGTGGGATTTTGGGAAGAAATAATTGGGTGAGGGGCTGGAATTCCCAGAGAAGCTGTGGCTGGAAGTGTCCTCAAGGCCAGGTTGGAGCCCCTGGGACAGTGGGAGGTGTCGGGTCTTCCCAACCATTCCAGGATTCCATGGGGAGCTCTGCTGTCCCCCAGGATAGCTCTGGGGACACTGATGGGGTTTGGAACCTCCAGAATGTCCCATTCCTGGTGGCATCTCCAACCCAGGGATCCCTGGAAGTGTCCCCAAGGCCAGGCTGGAGCCACCAGGTTCAGATGGACTGGAGGAGCCCTAAGGTCCCTCCCAACCACTCCAGAATTCCATGAACACCCCATGGGGACCTCCCTGTCCCTCTGGCTGTTGTTCCCCCACCCCATTTTGGGTTCCTGGGGTGTGTCCCCCCCTTGGTGACCCCAGCCTGGCCTCCCTGGTGCCCTTTGGCCATGTTTGCTCTGCCACTCCCTGTGCCGCTCATCCTGACTCACCTGTCCCACCTCGCCTGTCCCCACCTGTCCCCACCCCACCCAAGGTGGCCCTGTGAGAAATGAAATTGTTTCTTCAGCCCTCCAGGCACCAACTTTCCCCAGAGCTGTGGGAGGAGGGAAAAGGAGATCTGGGATCCCCTAAAATCCCAGATTTTCCTAATCAGCTAAAATTTCCCTAAAATCAGCTTTTCCTGGAGCTGGTGGAGGCTGGAATTAAAGAGTGGAGAAGGTCAGGGAGGGAAGGTTTGGGGGGGAGATGGAGGGGGACACGGTGGGGACACTCAGCTGAGGAGGGAGCAGGGATTTATTTTGGGATCAGGACAGGATTGGGGTGGAGATGGAGGGGGACAAGGTGAGGACACTCAGGAGGGGGAAAGGGAATTCCTGGTGGTGACAGTGGCATCCCTGGAATGCCAGGCCCATGCCACAGCTCAAGGTGCCTTCAGCCCCACGGCACCCTTCCTCTTCTCCAGCTTTAATGGGGTTAATTAGTGTCATTACTTTGGGAGGCTTAATTAGTGTCATTACCCTGGGAGGGAGCCCAGCCCAAGGGCTCGTTTGGGTTTTAATGAGTTTATTGCTCCAGGGAGGGACGGGATGGGCTGGGACATCCTGGGGACATCGAAGGGTGGGGACATCCCATGGCTGGGACATCTTGGGGACACCCTGGGGACATCCCGGGGCATCGTGGGGGGCTGTCCCATTCCAAGACCCCCCGTGTCCACAGGGAAGTCCCACCTGGCCATCGTGCAGAAGGTGAACAACGAGGGCGAGGGCGACCCCTTCTACGAGGTGCTGGGGCTGGTGACGCTCGAGGACGTCATCGAGGAGATCATCAAGTCGGAGATCCTGGACGAATCCGACACCTACAGTAGGTTTTGGAGCTCCCCACTCCCCAAAATCCCATTTTAGGGGGTTCCTCGTGGTCCCCCTGGCGGTGACCCCGCTGTTCCCCACAGTTGACAACCGCAGCAGGAAGAGGGTGTGCAACCAGAAGAACCGACGGGACTTCTCGGCCTTCAAGGACCCCGACAACGAGCTGAAGGTCAAGGTGTCACCTCAGCTCCTGCTGGCCGCCCACCGCTTCCTGTCCACCGGTCAGTTTGGATGTCCCAGGGCTGGGACGTCCTGGGGACATCCCATGGTTGGGACATCCCAGGGTTTGGGACGTCCTGGGGACATCCCATGGCTGGGACATCTTGGGGACTGGAGGAGCTGGAGGAGCTCACAAAGTCCTTGTGTCCCCTCTGGTCACTTCAAGCAGAAATTTTGGCTCTTGTCCCACTTTTTGTTGTGTCCATCCCACCCAAAATGGGAGGGGACAAGGCTGGGGATGGGTGTCCTGGTCCCTTGGGTTTTGATGGCTTCTTTGGGACCTCTGGGATGGACATCCTGGCCCTTTGGAGTCCTCCAGGATGGACATTCCAACCCCAAGGGTCTCCTAGACCATCCCAGGATGGACATCCACTTCCACCTGGAGGGATTAAAACCACCTCTGACCTTCTCCCCCCTCTCCAGAGGTGACCCTCTTCACCCCCAACTTCATCTCGGAGAAGATCCTGCTGCGGCTCCTCAAATACTCCGACGTCATCCAGGAGCTCAAGTTCGACGAGGAGAACAAGAAATCCCCACGGCACTTCCTGTACAGCAAGAACAAACCGGCCGACTACTTCATCCTCATCCTGCAGGTGAGGGCAGCTCCGGAGGGACCTCAGCCCCTGGGCTGGGGGCAGTTCCTGAGGGACCTCGGCCTTTGGGGTTTGCACAGTTCCCCTGGGATCTCATCCCTTGGGATCTAGACGTGGATCGACGTTGTTCTTCCTGCAGGGCAAGGTGGAGGTGGAGGCTGGCAAGGAGTGCATGAAGTTCGAGGCAGGAGCCTTTTCCTACTACGGGGTGATGGCCCTGAGTCCTCCTCCTGGATCTGGTGAGCATCTCCAGAACCTTCCAGGGGCCCCTGGGTCAGAGCTGCCACCAGGAGATTCCCGAGGTTGCAAACCCCACTGATGTCCTGGGGACAGCAGAGCTCCCCATGGAATCCTGGAGTGGTTGGGAGGGACCTTAGGGCTCCATGGGCAGGGACATCTCCCACTGTCCATGGTGGCTCCAGCCTGGCCCTGGGGACACTTCCAGTGACCCTTGGATCAGAGCTGCCCTGGGAACAGGAGATTCCAGAGGCTCCAAACCCTGCTGGTGCTCTGGACGAGCAGCTCCGTGCCCGAGTGGCCGATTTGGGGTTATTTGGATTCTTGTTAAACCTCCCTTTTTAGGAAGAGTTTAACTTCTGGAATCCCACCCTGGAACTAAACCTAAACCTCCATGAGTCAATTCCAGAACCCCAAAGAACTCTGCCTTCAGAACGGGGCGAAAACCCCAAATCAAGGGGATGAGCTCTTCAGAAATGGTCAATGGGTAGAAAAACCAGGATGGGGAATGTTGGGAAAGACCAGAGGACGATCCCGACCCTTCCTAACCCCACAGAGATCCGTTCCCCGTCCCACATGAGCGGCCTGAACCGCTCGGCCTCGCTGAGCTACCACGAGCGCTCGGACTCGGGCTCGTCGCCGGTGAGCGGCAGCAACAACCAGCTCAACGCCGGCGGCGCCCAGTACGTGGCCGACTTCAGCGTCCGCGCGCTCACCGACCTCCAGTTCGTCAAGGTGAGCGTTCCCGGCCGGAATGGGGCTGGGAAAACCCTTTGGGATGGGATTCCTGACCCATCAGGGATGGGAGGACCCTTTGGGATGGGATTCCTGACCCATCAGAGATGGGAAAACCCTTTGGGATGGGATTCCTGACCCATCAGAGAGAGGAGAACAAGAAATCCCCACGGCACTTCCTGTACAGCAAGAACAAACCGGCCGACTACTTCATCCTCATCCTGCAGGTGAGGGCAGCTCCGGAGGGACCTCAGCCCCTGGGCTGGGGGCAGTTCCTGAGGGACCTCGGCCTTTGGGGTTTGCACAGTTCCCCTGGGATCTCATCCCTTGGGATCTAGACGTGGATCGACGTTGTTCTTCCTGCAGGGCAAGGTGGAGGTGGAGGCTGGCAAGGAGTGCATGAAGTTCGAGGCAGGAGCCTTTTCCTACTACGGGGTGATGGCCCTGAGTCCTCCTCCTGGATCTGGTGAGCATCTCCAGAACCTTCCAGGGGCCCCTGGGTCAGAGCTGCCACCAGGAGATTCCCGAGGTTGCAAACCCCACTGATGTCCTGGGGACAGCAGAGCTCCCCATGGAATCCTGGAGTGGTTGGGAGGGACCTTAGGGCTCCATGGGCAGGGACATCTCCCACTGTCCATGGTGGCTCCAGCCTGGCCCTGGGGACACTTCCAGTGACCCTTGGATCAGAGCTGCCCTGGGAACAGGAGATTCCAGAGGCTCCAAACCCTGCTGGTGCTCTGGACGAGCAGCTCCGTGCCCGAGTGGCCGATTTGGGGTTATTTGGATTCTTGTTAAACCTCCCTTTTTAGGAAGAGTTTAACTTCTGGAATCCCACCCTGGAACTAAACCTAAACCTCCATGAGTCAATTCCAGAACCCCAAAGAACTCTGCCTTCAGAACGGGGCGAAAACCCCAAATCAAGGGGATGAGCTCTTCAGAAATGGTCAATGGGTAGAAAAACCAGGATGGGGAATGTTGGGAAAGACCAGAGGACGATCCCGACCCTTCCTAACCCCACAGAGATCCGTTCCCCGTCCCACATGAGCGGCCTGAACCGCTCGGCCTCGCTGAGCTACCACGAGCGCTCGGACTCGGGCTCGTCGCCGGTGAGCGGCAGCAACAACCAGCTCAACGCCGGCGGCGCCCAGTACGTGGCCGACTTCAGCGTCCGCGCGCTCACCGACCTCCAGTTCGTCAAGGTGAGCGTTCCCGGCCGGAATGGGGCTGGGAAAACCCTTTGGGATGGGATTCCTGACCCATCAGGGATGGGAGGACCCTTTGGGATGGGATTCCTGACCCATCAGGGATGGGAGGACCCTTTGGGATGGGATTCCTGACCCATCAGGGATGGGAAAACCCTTTGAGATGGGATTCCCAAACCATTGGGTCCTCTTGGCTGCTTTGGGTTTGGGATGAGCAAGCGGCTCTGGCAGGGCTCGTTTTGGGGTCATCTGGGATGGGAATTCCTTTGGGAAGAAACCCCAAAGAAGACTTTGGGGACTTCTACCCAATTTTGAGATGGGAATGCCAGCCCTCTGGGATCTCCCACCCCATTTTGGGATGGGAATTCCAACACTTTGGGTTCTCCTACCCCATTTTGGGATGGGAATTCCAACACTTTGGGTTCTCCTACACCATTTTGGGATGGGAATTCCAAACTTTTGGGTTCTCCTACCCCATTTTGGGATAAGAATTCCTGTTTTGGGATGGGAATTCCATCAAACACACCATTTGGGGATGGGAATTCCAACACTTTGGGTTCTCCTACCCCGTTTTGGGGTGGGAATTCACCGATGCCCCGTTTTGGGATGGGAATTCACCGATGCCCCGTTTTGGGGTGGGAATCCCCCGTTTGCCGTGTCCCACGCCGCTCTCCCGGCGCAGATCACGCGGCAGGAGTACCAGAACGGGCTGCTGGCCTCGCGCATGGACAGTTGTCCCCAGTCCCCCGACAGCGCCGCCCCCAAAGCCGACCCGGCCATCCCGGAGAAGCCGGAGCCGCCGGCGCCGGCCGACGAAACCACGAGTTTGCTCAACGAGAGGAACTGCCTGAGCCGCCGGAGCAACCACAGTGGCCTGGAGAACTCCATCTGACCCCGGCCGCGCCGGCGCGCTGCGGCGTGCCCGGCGTGCCCGGTGCAGGGACCTTTTCCCGGTAGGATGAGCCGGTGGAGGATGAGGATGAGGATGAGGAGGAGGCGTGGTGGGGATGGAGGAGCTGGGATTGGCTGCTGCTGTTCCAGGCCGGCTCCATCGGTTTGGGATGGACGGAGCGGCGCCGGCACTGCCGGCACGGCGCCGACGGCTCAGGGAGCTTCGGGTCTCGGTTTGCCGTGGGGACCCTGGGGATGGAAATCCCAGCCCTGTCAGGAGATCTGGGATGGACATCCCAACCCTTCCAGGAGATCTGGGGTGGAAATCCCAACCCTGCCAGGAGATCTGGGGTGGACATCCCAACCCTGCCAGGAGATCTGGGATGGACATCCCAACCCTTCCAGGAGATCTGGGATGGAAATCCCAACCCTTCCAGGAGATCTGGGGTGGACATCCCAACCCTTCCAGGAGATCTGGGATGGAAATCCCAACCCTGCCAGGAGATCTGGGGTGGAAATCCCAACCCTGTCAGGAGATCTGGGGTGGAAATCCCAACCCTGCCAGGAGATCTGGGGTGGACATCCCAACCATGGCAGAGTCCATCCCAATCCTTCTAGGAACCCCAACCCTGCCAGAAGCCCCAGGATGGAAATCCCAGCCTTTCCAGGAAATCTGGGATGGACACCTCAGTCCTTCCAGGGTCCATCCCAACCTTTCAGGGACCCCAGGATGGACACCTCAATCCTTCCAGGACCCTCAGGACGGACATCCCCACCATGCCAGAGTCCATCCCAATCCTTCTAGGAACCCCAGCCCTTCCAGGAATCCCAGAATGGACATCCCAACCCTGCCAGGACCCTCAGGATGGACACCCCAAACCTTTGGGATCCTTGGGATGGCAATTCCGTCCCTTTGGGGTCTCCTGCACGATTTTGGGATGGGAATTCCATCAATTTAGCTTCTCCTACCCATCCTGGCATGGGATTTCCATCCCTTCAGGATCTCCTTCACCATTTTGGGATGGGAATTCCATCCCTTTGGATCTTCTACCCATCCTGGGATGAGAATTCCATCCCTTTGGGGTCTCCTCCACCATTTTGGGATGTCCTGGGATGGGAATCCTGACCCCGTTCTGGTGGTTTTGGGGTCTCCTGGATGAATCCCAGCCCCTTCCCCGCTGGCCCGGGGATTTTGAGGTCTGGATTTTGGGGTCTGACTTTGAGATCTGGATTTTGGGATCAGGACTTTGTAGGGTCTGACTTTGAGGTCTGAACTTTGGGGTCCAGATTTTTGGGTCTGGATTTTCAGGTCTGACTTTGGGGTCTGGTTTTTGGGGTGACACAGCGCTAGTGACCAAAGTTGTACAGGCAGGAGGGGGCTGAGGGTCCCCCCAAAACCCCCCTGGGGTTTTTTGGGGTCAGAGCCTGACCCCAAAGAAACAAAAATAAGCACAAAAGTTCCCCCTGGGTGAACTCCTGTAAGTTATTGGGAGAAGGTTGAATTATTTTTGTTAATCACATCTCGACGATCAGTTCCTAGCTCCTTCCGTGGGGAGATTTTAGAAATAATAATAATAATTAATTAATAATAATAATTAATAATTAATAATAAGCCAGAAAAGAAGAAAAAAAAAAACAAAAAACTTTTTTATTAAATCTTCCTCTATGCAAACCCCTCCTTTTCCTCCCCCCTGGGGAATTCCTCTCCCCCTCCCGGTTCCGCCCCTCCCCCCACGCCCCGGTTGTGTAAACCGACCGTGGAATTTTTATTTCACGGAGGGTTCTTTTTTGGGTTTTTTTTTTTTGTCAGAAGGGTTAATAAAAATTCTATATCTGTACCTGGGTGTGCTCGGTGCCGCGCAGGGGTCCCGGTTACCGGGGGAGGGGCCCGGTTAAAAAGGTCGCGGCGCCTTTAAATCCCCCCCACCCGCGGGGGCTGTTTACACCGCGAAACCCCGCCCCCTAAATGCACCGCGCGTGGTGATTGGCTGTAGGGAGGGGAGGCGGGGCTACGGGGAAAGACGGGCGGTGATTGGTTGAGAGCGCGGGGCGTGGGGCGGGACACGGAAGTAGCAGCGGCGGTACCGGGCCGGGCACCGGGAGCGCGACAGTGCCCGGGCGCGGCTGTCGCCTCCGTGTCCCCTCAGGTGTCCAGCAGGTCCCGCACGGCCGGGTGCGCCCCGTCCCGCGGGCTGCGGCCCCTGGCATCGCGGAGCGCAGCGAGGGCCGGGCGCTGGCGCAGGAGGAGGGCACAGAGCTCGCGGTGCCCCTGCTCGGCGGCCTGGGGGGCACCGGTGTCACCGCCGGGGGGCACGGGCACCGGAGAGCCACCCACGGGCACCCGAGAGCCACCCACGGGCACCCTGCGGGAGGAGGAGCCCCGTGCCCCCCACCCGATTTGAGCACGGGGTGCCCCCACCTGGCATTGGGGTCCCCCCGTGCCCCCCACCCGCTCTGGGCAGGGGGTGCCCCCTCTCATTTGGGCAGAGGACCCCTCTGTGCCCCCTCAAATTCGGGCAGGGGATGCCCTGTGCCCCCTCCACTTTGGGAATTGGGTTCCCCCACCGTGCCCTCACCTGGCACGGGGACCCTCCCGTGCCCCCCACTTTGCCATCCCCCGTGCCCCCCGCCCACTCTGGGCTCTCCCCGGTGCCCACCTTGTGCAGGCCGGTCTTGCCGTCGCCGTCGGCGGCGGCGGGGTCGGCTCCGTGCGCCAGCAGCAGCTCGGTGACGGCGCGGTGCCCGCAGTAGCAGGCGCGGTGCAGCGGGGTGGCTCCGCCGGGGGTGCGGGCGTCGCACGGGGCGCCGCGCTCCAGCAGCAGCCGGCACACGCCCAGGTGCCCGTTCCGGCTGGCGTAGTGCTGCGGGCACGGCGCTGCCTCAGCGCTGCCCGCCATCCCCGGGACCCCCGCGCCAGGGCCGTGCCCCCGGGCAGGACCGACCGCAAAGACCCCGGGACCCCCGGGCCAGGGCCGCGTACCCAGTGCGGACCCCGGTGCCAGGGCCATGTGCCCGGTCAGGTCAGGACCCCGGTGCCCCCCGTGCCCCCGGTGTACCAGTGCCGTGCCCCCCGGTGCCCCCCGTGCCCCGGTGTACCAGTGCCGTGCCCCCCGTGCCCCCGGTGTACCAGTGCCGTGCCCCCGGTACCCGCGGTACCCCCCGGTGTACCAGTGCCGTGCCCCCCGGTACCCGCGGTACCCCCCGGTGTACCAGTGCCGTGCCCCCGCGCCCCCGGCACCCCCCGGCGTACCAGTGCCGTGCCCCC